TGTTTTGTCAACCAAACCTGTAGAAAATGAAATAAATCATACATCACAAAATTTGGCAGAAGCTTTAGGTCAAGTATTTAATGAGTGGGACATTGAAAAAAAGATATCATGCATAGTGACAGACAATGCTGCCAATATGGTAAAACATGTGAAATTTTAAAGAAAAAACATCTTCCATGCTTTGTCCATACTATTAATTTGGTCGTTCAAGATATTTTATCTTTAGAGCTCATAAAACCTATTATAAAGAAATTGTCCGGTTTTTTAAAATGAGCAATATTGCCATAGAGATACTTAAGACAGAACAAAATACTGATACTCCATTAAAACTAATACAAGAAGTTCCAACCAGATGGAATAGCGCTTATAAAATGATACAGAGAATTTTAAAAACCAATGATAGCCTTAATAGATCATTGCTGAAAATTAAAAAAGCTCCAGCCCCTTTGAGCATAAATGAAATAACTGTTCTCAATGATATTGAAAAACTTCTGAAGCCATTTGACGAAACAAATCTAAAGGTGTCAGGATCAAGCGATTTAACAATATCTTTAATAATTCCACTAACATTTGGAATATGTAATTCCTTATTGAGCCTAAAAACGAGCATTCAAACTGAAGAAGGAAAAATCATGTGTGAAAAACTTATAGAATCAGTTCAGTTGAGACTATTTTTATATGAAAAGAGGACTGTAGCCCAAATGGGTACATTGCTTGATTCAGCATTTAAACAGGAGGGTTTTAGAAGTCTAGATAATGCAAAAGCAGCTGGACAATTTCTGGAACAGATGATTTCAATTTTAAATAAAGAAGAAAATGAGGATAAAGATCAAAAGCATGATCATGATAGTAAAAAAAATACAAACAGTGATGGAGGTAACTGTGACAGATCGTCATCCTTATTTGCATTTATGAATGAAAGAAAAAGTCAGAAAGTAAAATCTAAAAAAGTGTATGCCATAATCATAAAGAGGCAATACTGTAAGCGACACAATACAAGCCAAAACAGTGACTCGCTACTCTTCTGGAAGGTAAGTTAATTTCAAGGCTTGAAATTACATAGATATGCACTATACTATATTCCGTGGTAGACATTTGCATATTTAAATATGAAGAATCAAGAAATTGTTGTTTTTTAATACCTTATGCAGTTTGTGCAGTTTCCCTATTTTTTTTCTTAACTCAAATTATACTCTACTTGTACTTTAAGCCTGAACTTCATCTGTTTTGAAAATCAGTAAGCTTGGTGAAATAAAAATGTACCTGCCTAATGTGAATTTAAATTTTAACCACATAAAACCTGTATTTTGTTAAAATAAACTCACTGTACAGGCTGAGTTTGATGAAAAACTAAATAATTCAAATATATTCAGTTACATGAAAATCTTATAGTAGGTAGTTAATAGATGTCCCAATAAAAAATATTCATCATTCTGTGTACAAAGATGCAAACAATTTTTTAAACACTGTGTATTCCGTTAATATTTCAGATAAATCGAGACGAGTTTCATCCACTTCACCAATGTGCCAAGAAATATTTATGTATTCCAGCCACTTCAGTGGAGTCCGAAAGTGTTTTCAGTATTACAGGGCAGATAGCTACTGATAGACGGTCAAGATTAAAACCCAGAAATGTTGACATCTCAACTTTCGCGAACAAAAACTACTGGTTAGTTAATAAATAGTGTTTCTTTAAAAAAAAATAATTTGTAAAATTAAGTAAGCTAGGAGGTATATTTTTATGTCACCTAGTTTATTTTATTAAACAGAATAAAAAAATAATGTTTTTTAGTTCATTTTTTCATCCATGAATGTAATTTTAAGATGTAGGGTATTTTTTTCAAACTATCGATAGTTATCGATAGTGTTATCCTTGACTATCGACTACTATCGATGGTGCTGACTATCGATAGTTCTCCACCACTAAACCTAACTATTCACCTTTCGAATATGATCGCTCATGCAACATGAAAAGATCGTCTATCTTTGTCGGATACATGACAAATTAGCAATACAGTTTGTTTAGACAATAAAATTCTGTTTGTTTCTGTCTAACATATCAGAAACTTCATTAAAAACATTCACAAATTGCTGTCGTTACTAAAATGAAGACGTAATCGTCGTCTTTCGTGATTTCGACTATACGAGTATGTGTGGTCCGAAATTTTATAATTCGGAAGATATTCGCAATTTTGTGAAATTTCGAAAAAAAACGGGAAATTGAACTTTCAATCGCAATCACAACTAAACCATGAGGTTTAGGGCTGTGATTTTTATTTCGACATGAGCTAAATGGCTAGTTTTAGCAATGGTTAAAAAAATCTTATATTCATTTTTTTGTGAAAAATCACTCAACTTTGGAGAGCGGTAAGAAATTGAGGTATTTCATTATCCATTTAACTGTAAAAACTATTTCAAACCATGTAGAATAAACCCTGAAAATTTCAGCTTGCACCGATAAGTGCCACACCTTAAACAATCTGTATGTTTGACGCAGGGGGTATCTATACATGTAAACAAGAAATTCTATTGTACTGTTAGATTCGTCCTAGCAGTGCGAATGATACTGTGTGTATTAACATTTTGTAAAATCCAATAGCCAAATCAGCTTAATGTGGCATTTAACTCGGCATTCCAGGTGTGGGAGGGTTCAATCTTCGGTCCGACCGAAATTACTAAGTCAGGCAATGGCCCAGCGAGGAATTTGTATCTAACGTTGGGCATCTGAGTAGAATCATGTCATATTCTCCGCTTAGATTATGCAGACATGCATTACTATTATGGTGCTGTCCTACGAAATGCTCGAGCAGCTGGTCGCATGTATCGGGAGTATGTGGTTAGATGAGATGGATCACAACCGGCAGTATATCCCGACTACCGCGTTTTTCTACGCCTCCATAATGCGTATGTGGATTGCCGCATACTAGGCTCCCATCGTCAGCTATAGTAAAATACCAAAATTGATGACAGTAGCGAAGCTAATCGTACGCCACTGCTATTACGCGGAGGCCTTCGAAAATGCGGCGCTTCTTTGTTAAATGTCGGCAACCGTCGCTGTAATCAAAAGGTACCGCATCAAAGCAGTGGCGTACGATGACTTCTGCTACTGTCATCAATTCTATTTGACTATAGGAGCGCCGAGGATACGCCCAGAAAAATTAAAAGATAATAGAAGCAGCCGAGAGAGATCCCTCTATAAGCACCAGAGCCATTGCCCGAAGCAGAAACATACTCCCTACTTCAGTGCACACAACACTACGCTCGGAGCACATGCATCTTTACCATGTACAAAAATTGCTTCCAAGCGACTATGCACAACGGGTTGAATTTTGTGAGAATATGTTGAGAAGGTGCGAAGAGGATGAAACTTTTTTCGACAGTATCTTATGGACAGATGAATCCAAGTTTAACCGAAATGAAATATTCAACATGGACAATTTCTATTCATGAAGCGTGGAAAATCCACACGCTATTCGCCGACACAGCTTTCAACGTCAGTTCGGCGTTAATTTATGGGCTGGAGTACTCCACAAAAAATTGATTGGACCATACAAATTGCCCGCCAGGTTGAATGGTCAGTCATATCTTGCTTTTCTACAAAGCAGTATGCATGAGCTGCTAGAGGATGTACCTTTGGACGTTCGAAGCCGCATGTATTTTCAATGCGATGGTGCCCCATGCCACTTTGCACGAGATGTACGGCATTACTTGAACAGTGCCTTTTCTGGACGTTGGATAGGTAGAGATGGACACATACGATGGCCTCCAACGTCACCCTATTTAAATCCTCTGATTTTTTTATATAGGGGTGTTTTATAATGGGATAATCTATACATCTGAATATACAAATGTCATCCAACTGCGCCAGAAAATTGATGAAGCAAATTCATTTCATAGACTAAAGGACACAGGAATTTTATTAGCTGTCGCTTGTCTATAGAAAATAATGGAGGCCATTTCGACCATGTTCTTTAAAAGTTAAATTAAATTATCTTGCACATTTGTCGGTAAATCGGCATAAAGAGCGGCTAAATACAATAGGTTCTGTACTTGTAGGTGGTAAGTTTTCTATTGCGTTTCTTACGTTTATCGCATCACAACAACGAATGTGACATGATACATTCTTTGTAGCAAGCTGAAATTTTCAGGGTTTATTCTACATGGCTTGAAATAGTTTTTACAATAAAATGAATAATGAAATACAACCCCATTTTTTTACCGCCCTCCAAAGTTGAGGGATGAAAGAGATTTTTCACAAAAAAAAAGAATTAAAGATTTTTTGCGTTGATTTATAATAAGCTCTGTTACAAAGTGACATGACCATTGCTGAAACTAACCATTTAGCTCATCTCAGAAAAAAATTACAGCCCTAAACCTAATGGTTTAGTTGTAATTGCGATTGAAAGTTCAAAATCCCGTTTTTTTTTTCGAAATTTCACAAAATTGCAAATATCTCCTGAACTATCAAATTTCGGACCACACATATAGGGGCTCACTTGATGGGTTTTGAGGCCCTCTATCACCTGACTTCCGTTGGTCCACTACTAACTTTACACCCTGTATACAATACAAGAATATACACAAATAACAGCAAAACAGCTTTGGGGAGGAAACAATGTACAAAGAATGAATTCCTGAATAGTGAAGACAAATATTGTTCATTACTCCCTATTTTATTCACATACATGAAAATTAGTTGTTGAATTATAAGTGATTCAATTTAAAACGTTCAACTTTGACACCCTGTCAACTGCCATTTTGAAAGAAACTAAATGTATACCCAGGGTTATAAAATGATGATAAGGAGCTTCAAAATAAGGTAGCAAATGACACCCATCCTATTCAAAATGTTACAAGATGGCGCACAGCAGCCAAATTTTCAATTCTCACTGTCACATTAAAATAAAGTATTCGTGCGTTAAATTCATTACCCAAAATTTCAGCTGACAAACTTGACCCAGTCAAAAAATAAGTAGGGGACTACTAGGTTACTACATTTATTATACTGGAATACTAGACCTAGTACTGTTTGCTGGCTCAGGTGTTTTTGAGTTTGACAAAGTTGAATATGATCTCTGTATATTCTTACAACAGCAACACAAATCCCTCATTAGATTCCCTAGACTTTCACTTGAGCTACTCCTAAAAATTCCACTTGAAACATCTTCTATTGAAGTTTCCCCAATAAAAATTTCTAGTCTAGTTTTTGGAAAACCCTCATTGTAGTACTGTTTAATTGTCTCATATGCATCCATGATAACAGAAATAAAAAGACTTAAGATTATATAAATATACAAGCTGATGAATGAATACAAGTAGAGCCTGCTGAACCACCAAAGTAACTGAGATTTGTTAGACATAATTGAAAAAGTTGCAAACATGTCATCACCATTTATAAGTGAGAAAAGGCACTCTAAGGTTGTTGAGAGTGACCTAAATTTTAAGTGATAAGGGCCTAAAATTAACCAGCCACTGAATGTGAAGCCTGCATAAATTAATAGTGCACACAATAAGAATCGTGCCACCTGTGGAGCTGCTTTTTGTAATGTTAAGATGACTACATTGTATGTTTTGAAGAACCCTAGATATCTTAAAACACCAAACCAAACAAGCATATTTCCTATTCCTAAAAATAAACTACAAACATTCCACTGATCACTAGTAAACTCTTCACGTTCTATTTGTTCTTTGATAGCTGAACCAATAATGATTAAAACATCATTTACAATAATCATAATATACCACAGATTGAGAAATTTTATTTTATCTTCATAAGTGAGGGGCTGAGAATATTGTTGAACAAAGAAATTTTCTGTTATTGTTCTCAGCTGTTGAGCTCTCCAAACTGCTCTGCTACATAAGATAAATGACAAAATGCATATTGCTATAACTAAATAATTCAAAATACTTCTTAAAAGTGATTCGATTTCATTGTCAGTGATATATTCTACATCCCCTTTACACATAAGCCTTGTTGGTTCAGCATCAAGTGTCAATAGCATCTGCCCATCATGATCAATATTATCAAATAAAATAATAATATCAAACCTATAACAATTTGGAGCTGATATTCGTCCAGCTGCTTTGAAATTAACTGTCTTTATAGAAAACAATAACTCTGCTTTTACTAAAGCTGAAAAGTTAATTGTAATGTCACTGTTATCAATATACTCTTTAGCTCTTAAATCTAAATTTCTGGAAAAGTTTAAACAAGTTTTAACTATATCACTATCAAAAATGTATGATTCATTAAAACCAAATATAATACCTTTTTTGTATTGATATAAACACAGTATCATATCAGTCATGGTGTTGTTTTCAGTTGCATATGAATATGGCCCAATTGCCTTATTCAACTCAGAATAGCCTTTGAAGGCATAATCAATTGTTTCATAAAATTCATCTTCTTTATAAATTGCCAAAGGCCCAGCTGATGGAGGATAAGCATTAACTTCCATTGTTGGGTCCCATCCTCTTAAAAATAAGTGAGAAAACGTGATTCGGTTGTCCCAGGTGTAGTTGACGTGGTTATATCGATGATACGCAAACAAGCAGAGCTGCATTGTGACCAAAACTATTTTGATAATTTGCACTCCAAATTTATATGGAAATCGATTTTTAGCTTGCCATTTTTCAATGGGATTCATGAAGAAAAACTGTAACTTTCTCTTCATTCTTTCTTCTGCTAACAAAGGATGTGACGCAGAATGGATGCAGGTTTCGTTTTCCATGTCTGGGCCTCCTTGATTCTCAGGGTTTTCTTCACATTCAGAATGTATGCTTTCTTCCATACCTCGCAAAAACTTTTAGGCCGCGCTTCTACGTTTTATGTTTCCACTGATCACTGATGATTGTGTGATGGATTCCCTTTATTATTTTTTATTTACATCACAGCTGATGTCTGTCAATTGAGCGTTAATGCCAATGAATTGTCAACACTGATGGAACAGGCGTAACGCGAATTCATTGCGGCTAGAATGAGAAACGAGAAGGATAGCGCTAGTCAGGGCAAAACATCATGGTCCATTGTGGTATAGTGGATACCAAATAAAACCCGATGCACGTCATCGATCTGGAGCTGTGCGCTGTTGCCAGAATTTGCACATTTTCTTTTAAGCAAATAAATTTAATAAAATAAATTGTTTATAAATACCTACCATTTACTATAATACCATTATATTAAAAATAAATAAACTTGTTGGAAAATTAAATTCCTTTCTGAATAAAAACACCTGATTTTGGTAGATATTCAATGATATGAGCTCTTTACACCGACTGTTAAGTTGTTTTGGCATTTTGGATACTTTACACCACTTCACAGTAACTGTTGTTCTGAAAAGAACAATTTTTAATTGGCAAGGCAACGATTCAAATCTCAAATAGCGCAAAACTCACAAACTAAACAATAAAGAACTAATAGTACGACAAAAGGACAATGGCAACTGATGTCAACAAATGAGAAGTGGCAACCTCACATTTCTCTGCACGGCACTACCAACCGAATCGAGACGGGGAAATTTAAACTTCAAGTAGAAATGTCACATTGAATGTAGTCAACTGTTGGTAACCATGATTTTTATGAATGACATCACCTATGACGTGCATCGGATTTTATTTGGTATCCACTATATAGTCGAAATCACGAAAGATGACGATTACGTCATCATTTTATTCTGTAGTAAAGACAAACGACAGCCATTTGTGAATATTTTTAAATGAAGGTTCAGATGTGTTAGACAGAGACAAACAAAATTTTATTGTCTAAACAAGTAGTATTGCTGAATTGCATGTATCCGATAAAGACAGACGATTTTTGCATGTTCATGATTGATCACATTTGAAAGATGACAAGTGAGGTTATGTGTATGTCATGTCAGCGTGTTGACAGTTCGTTGCAGGTTAGGTTGTTTTCGAACAATACTTTGGTCGTTGGTGTTCCTGTCTTGAGGTGTATTCTGTTGTGTGTATAACTGTTTTTTTCAAAACAAAAACTCCTCATAAAAATTATTATTAAGGTAGAAACTAAATAATTTCCAACATAAGAGCATCATTTAAGACTTTAATTCTAGTTTTCGCTATGAAAAGCAAAACTCTTAGCTCTCAATCACAGGGCTTGGTACTATCCTTGCTGAATTATTTTCAACAAGAAAAGGATAATGGAGGGCCTCTATTACCATTGTTAGCTGTCCAAGAGGTTTGTAATAGTTAGAAATATGGTCATATGATTGACAATTTATTCTATATTATTTTTCAGAGGGTGGCTCAAGCACTAAGTATCAGTTTGTCCACTATTACCAGAATACAGCGCCGTTTATCATCTAATGATAATGTCTTAAGATCACCTGGAAAGAAGAGACCCAGAAAAAAGTCTAAGACAACAGATAGTCAGGCATAACATACGAGATACAGTGTATCAAATGTATAGTGAAAGTAATGATAATGAGCGTGAGATGGTACATTCCAAATTATTGATTTTTTGTTTTGTTTCAGAGAAACATGTCACAATAGCAAATTTGAATAAAACGCTTAAAGAGAAAGAGCTTGCTTCTATCAGCAATAGCTCTTTACAAAGAGTGCTGCCCACCATAGGCTTTAAATATAAAAAAGATGGTAATAGAAGATTTCTAGTTGAGCAATCCAGTATTGCTTTACTTTGCACCAAATTTTTGAGAAGTTATAATGACTATGTGAACACTTCCTCGCATCAAATTGTTTTCATGGATGAAACATGGATATTTTCAAAAGGCAGTCCAAAAAAGTCTTGGCAAGATGAGTCAATAAAAAGTGTAAGGAGACCATTGGGCTTTCAAGGAAAGCGATTTATTGTTGTCCATGCAGGGAGAGAAAAAGGATTTGTTGATGGAGCAAGTCTGTTATTTTCCTCACAGTCTAAATCTGCAGATTACCATGGTGATATGAACGGCGAGACATTCATTAAGTGGTTAAAAGAAAAACTCCTCTGCAACTTGGAAGAGCCATCAGTGATAATTATGGATAATGCATCCTATCATAGCATTTTATTGGAAAAGACTCCCAAACACAAGTTCTCCAAAAAAAGAGATTATTGACTGGCTGGTTAAAAATGAAATTGTGTTCCAACCAACATTAATTAAATTGAATATAGTGAAGAGAAATTGTAAGGAAAAGAAGTATTTAATAGATGAAATCATAAGAAGTTATGGACATGAAGTTCTTAGTACCCCCATACCAGTGTGAATTTAATGCCATCGAGTTAATATGGGCCAATGCTAAGCAGTATTATGATAGACATATTGGAAGATGTGGTCATAGTGATGAAAATGTTTTAGCTATGTGGAATGAAGCTCTGTCACAAATTACACCAGAGGTTTGGAAAAAATGTGTGAAGCATACCCATGATGTAATTTTAGAGTGGTACAACAAAACTATTACTCGTGAAATAGAACCACTGATAATCTTATTTGATTCAGATCTGACAGTAGCGATTAAATTTTAATCTGAATTTGACCATAAGTAATGGAATAACATATTGAAATGTACAGTTTATTTTATTTGATATATGTTTTATATAATTTTGTAGCTTATGCTAAAATGAATAGTGGATGGCATGACATGAAATAGTTCAAAAATAGTTTCACTTTGGTATGCTTATTTGTGTTTGTATTTTTTTTATAAAATAAAACCATGTTCTCAGAATCAATTGGTCGTTTTAATGGAGCTGATACCAATGTATTATTGTGATTTTGGTAAGAACTCTAGGGACTCAACAATATTAGGTGAAAAATAGGTTCAAAATACGTACTATTATTGTGAACAGAGGAAATGCTGTTTTTTTTTTAATAAATATGTAATTTTATTGCAAATAGAAGTCTTAAAATGTAAATTTGTGCACGGATAATGATAATTTAAAATCATGAAATAGAATAAATAAAAATAATCACTGAAATCAGCTAACTTCGATCACATGTTCCTGACATCGTAACCTTATCATCGACGTACGTCCGGTAATTATTTCGTTACAATTTATGGTTTGACGTAATCGTCATCTTTCGTGATTTCGACTATATTTCCATATATGTTCTAAGGATTTTTGATTGTTTGTTTTTAGTGACGTTAAAGATTAATAGTGATAGTTTGCGACAATTATTATAAACGTTTTTATGCCGGACAGCCTTCAAGAGCTGTTGTTTTATGTGATATTTGTTTAAAAATGGTTAATCTTGCAGTGCGGTGAATTGTTGCAATAGACGCAGAATGTGAAAATGAAGTTTCACAGGTATTGTTTTAATCATCTCATTCATTTTTGTGTGAGAATTACCTGTTAATTGGTAATTCGAGAAAATATCTGGATTTTTAGGATACCTACAGATCCTAACATGAGGAAGTTGTGATTACATGCTATAAGAAGAGAAAACTGTACTCCCAGTCGAAAACGGTAATTTGTGAAAAGGATTTCACTCCAGAGGATTATGAAGTTAGTGTTCATGGAAATAAGGTACTAAAAAAGGTGGCAGTTCCATCTGTGTTTGATTTTCCAGCCCACCTCAAGAAATAACCTAGCCATCGAAGGGTTTTGAAAAGAAAACATGAATACATAATTTCTAGAATGAACTATGGTATAACCTATATTGTATTATAATGAAAAACTGTGCATCTACAGTATTGTTAATGCCATTGTGCACAAATATTTTGTATACATATATATATACAGGGTGACTTCGAAGTTGAGTCATTTATTTTAACAGTGAGTAGATCTGATCAAAAGAAATGTTTTTTTCCTTTACCATTTTTCTGGTGAAATTAAAGTAACAAAGTTATAGCCCTTTCGAAGTTTGAGTACCGCCCTGTCTCAATAATAATATCATGTGGTCGTGTTTGGCAACAACGGATATAATCCGCCTTACCGGTTCATCGCATCGGAAACAAAAAAGCGAAAGAATTTGGAACGATGTTTTTACAATAAATTACTTTATTCAGTTCAGTTATACATACAGTCAGTGTCAGTCGGTTAGCGTGTGAATAGTGTCTGTTGCGTGGCTCAAACGAAATAAAAAATGGCACATGTTTATGCGGATCGGTTTCCCAATCGAGTGCAACCAACCCCTCGTGCCTTTGTTAATGTAGTACAACGGGCTCGTGAATCAGGTGACTTAAGACCTCACAGGGGACCTCACGATCAAATACAGGTCCGCACTGGAATACTTGTCGGGAGGATACTTTATAAAACAAGGTAAAAATTTTTTTTTTTATTTTTACACACATATTCTGGTTTATCTTCCTTCTACAATCATTGTCTGAAAATTAACCCGTAACCACAGACGGCCAATAAATTGAACATTACCACAGACGTGGCGTCAAAATGACTCTTATAATGAAGGCCATGGAAAACATATTTGGAAAATAAAAACAAGTTTACCTCTATGTTATATCACTTAAATAGTGTCTGTTTTAATATCGTTTTTAATAAAAAAAAATCCTCAGTAAAAAGCAACCAGATTTTAAAGAAATGTATTTATTGCACACAATTTTCGTGAATATTTACAATAACATTTTTGGAAACTTTTTAACATAAAAAAAAATGAACTTGCTAGGTAGTTTTCATACAAAACTCGTTAAAAACATGAAAAAGAATACTTATAACGATTAGAAATTAACGGGAAGGTAATATTCTGGAAACGTGCAGTAGGTTTTCCAAAGTAATTTTTTCATTTTGCACAGTCCACGCAAACCATTTGAAATGGTTTTTTTCCATAGAAATAGTTTCTTGTAGAAACGCGGTTCAATGTCTCATCTTCTTCAGTAGAAAGTCTTTCGCAATCTCTGTCCATTCTTGTTCCGGACGCTCTCATTATCACTGTAAATGAATTCGGCATCTGAATCAATACCACTGCCGTTTTCATTTTCCTCATCCACCTCAGCAGCCCATTTCAGCAAAGTTTCTTCGTAGTCCGAATCGCCATATCTAACTATTTTTGAGGGACCAGCTTTGCTATCAAAATCCATCCTAAAAACCTAAACTAAGCCGAGCATGTTCATGAAATACAGAAATAAGAATATAACATTATCACAGACCTGTAGTCCTTTTGACTCCGTCGGAAATTCAAGTCGTAATGAAATGTAAATAACGTACACAATCAACGCAATTGTCTCAGTGCTAGTTCAATACTACTCGATGAAAAGGTACCTCTAGGCATGGACAGATAGACTGAGGAGAAAACGGGAAATCCCCCTCCACATACTAGCAAGGAGTCAAATTGACTCCACGTCTGTGGCTATGGGTTAATGACTCAACTTCAAAGTCACCCTGTATATATAAGGGTTTTTTCTTTGTACACTTTAATCTCTACAAAACTGGACGTGTTCCCACTACATTTAGTGTTGACAGCTACAGTACTATAAAAATAAATTTAAATGTGCATAAATACTATTTGGAACATTATAAAGATATATAGAAAATAACATGTATTTATTGTGATATTCCTTAGATCTCTTATTTTTTATATGTAAGAAATAGCATATTAGAGCAGGTATGTTAATTATAAGCAGATATGTAATCTCTTTGCTACCTGAATTATTAATTACTTATGTTAAATACTAATTTTTATATCTTCAAATGTGTAAAGGAGAATTTATTGTCAAGTTTCATACATATCGTCGCCTTTCTCACGAAGTGTCCTAACTGACAAAATATCAGAAATTGAGCTAAATCGCCTATACCTAGGTGTGTTATTCCATGCCGGTTGATCTGACGAAGTGGCATAGCAATATATCTACTGATGTAGGCAACCACATCATTCACCCCTGTATGTCCTATCTGCATAGGTAAGCATATAATTCTCACGAAGAGACCTAAATGAAGATAGGTCTCTTAGTGTGCAATAATCCTTGTTAGTATACGCACTTCGGTGGTCTAATGTCGGGTTCATGCACGACTTAAACTAACCGAACTTAAGGATCAGCTGTTTCTACACCAGTGTCCTCCACATGTTACGCGGTTACGCCTCCAGTTAGTAACTAGCTAGTGACTTCCAGTGGTGGTCAAACGTTTTGGTGACGTCACACCCATTTTTTGACATGATTCGGGTGGTTTCGGAACTCGTCTTACCCTTGGATAGCCCTTTCCATACTGTTCTATGCTCGTATTGACGTAATTATAATAATTCTGTGGTGTCTCGTGTTCCACGACGATTTACCGAGAAAGCCAGGCAGTGACTCATCTGTTGTTTTTGTTTGAGTTGTTGACGAATTTGCGGTAGAGATTTGTTTTGGTGTTCGTCTTCGGGTGTGTTTTTCTGCCTTAGACTTGTTTTTTGTGCGATTAATTGAGGATGGCCGTGCCTAGAGCAAAAATAACGAAAAGCCGCGGTGGTATCAACTCCTGACGTTGTTGAAGAGGTACCTGCAGAAGTCACCTGAACGCAATCGGACATCGCCAGAGGAGCGCTAATGATGACGTTGCAGTAAGTATCCAAATCAGTTCATTTTTGCATAAATGACAAAATATATTGAGGTTATGGTCGTTTTCTTAATTTCAAGGTCACTTCTTAAAAAAAAGTTCAATATATTGAACTTTTCCTTAAGAACCAACCAATCGGATCACTAGCGTTGGTCAGCTGATCGCTACAGCTGGAATTAGAAGATGGCTACGAGCCATCGATACTGTACAAAAGTCGATAGTCGATATTTATATCGTGATGTTTGATCGATTTTATATCGCTGTATGGGCAGATGGTTCGGTGATACTTGTATGAAAAATTATTTGCGCTTGCTTACGCATGACAGTTTAGAGCTGAACATCGGGGCGGATTGATAAAAATCATGTATGTTAAAAATTATAATAATTAAAGTCAGTGGTCATGTTTACTTCATAAATTAGATAAAAAAACAGCATGAAAAAAATAAACATGGGTCCTAAATTGAAAAAAAAAATGGAAATGATCTTAAAATTTTGTGCTTGTAGTACTGACTTCATAGCTGATAGATGCAAACACTTTCATGTCTGAGACTGTACCAGTGCTGATGTTGGCAAATTATAGCCCCTACAGAAGAAAAAAGAGAATTTAAATCTATACCATGGCCCCCATGACATGTTTTTCCAAAACCTCACAGAACACTGTGAAGGTACTTTGTCATTAACTACAAACCAGGTGTACACCTGACGAATGCTGTGTATTCGCAGCCCACCAAATATGTAATCTCTTTTGACGTTTATTGAGATAAACAGATTGAGTAGCACGTAACTTTTTTTGTGACATCTGTACTGTTGGTAATAACAAACCTGGTAAAGGGCCAAATTAAGGACTGGCGTTTGGTATCACCAATGAAAATTTTTTTTTTTAAACACAGAATTTTGGCAATCAAATGTATACTGCTAGATTGGGAATTTATACATATGTACAGAGCAGTATCATCTGAAGGGGCATGGTGAGATGACTATGTTTCTGTTTAGTGTTTGCTGACCAAATATGACAGTGATATTATGCTAATAATTTTTTTTTTGTTTCACAGTGTCAAAATTCTTCGAGGAGACAGTTGGAATGAAGATGGTCATTTATTTTATGGATACCAAATTAATTGTCAATGAGAGTTTGTTTCCTAGTTTGAAGAAACAATTACTGTTTTTATTGAGGACAATTTTGTTTGCCTTTATCCATTAAACAGTGTGCGCAAAACTGTTTTTGATTCACATATCAGAGTGATTATATTTGTATTCCAGTCAGTCCTCTACCTACAGATGTATTTTTTGTTATTTTAGTATTTATGTTTTCGCAATAAATATACCTGATCAATTAACAAGAGATAGTGCTTGCATGATATTGCACTGATCAGGTTTATAATATAGAGAAAAATCCAGATGAGTAGAATACCTCTATGTATGTACAATTTATTGTAATGAAGAATTTGTTCTATTATTGCTGTGACTGTTCAGTAAATATTTTTTTAATTATACATTTTTTTATTATCCTGAAATTCATTACTAGTCAAACCGATGAAAGAAATACTCCCTTTATTGAGGATGTGTTATGCATCTATGATCATCGAACTGCCTCAATATCGGTAGTCAATCAGATTTCGTAATGTAAACAAATGAAATCTCCGACACATTCCTGACATTCCTGATATGCGTTGTCGGCATACTTTTAATATTTATAGTTCCACCAGATTTCCAGCCAAAAAAAGTGGCGCTGCCGTCGAGGTTATAGTCCAAGAAATATCTTCACATCTGCTCAGGAAAATATTCGGATTCGGACTTTTTGCATGTTATTCGAAAAAGCCTCCTAGTAACAAATCTACATGTTGTCAGGCTCCAAATTGCGTCTCTAATTGTTTGAACAACTTTTTCAAATAAATTACAAAAATTAATGTTTTCGCTTCATCAAAGGTAGCATTCGTTTTTTTGATACTCCGAAACAAAATGATGTTTGACAATGTTTGTCAAAAGTTCATTTTGTACGAGATGGGAAAGTACAAAAAACTGATTTTGCGATACCGAAAAACGATCTGAAAAAACGAAAATGTTAATGTCGCCATGCTTCATAAATAACCATTAACGATACCTTTTAGGAGATACTGTTATTATAAATCTTTGTATTTAATTTATATGCAAGCGGACGCTCAATGCATATTCAGCGTGCACGAGAGATATTTCATCTCTCTCGCGTTCACATAGACATAGACTATACATTGAGCGCGCATTCAAATGCTCTGGGGGTTTTGTTATTGGTTGGTTGAAGCATGTGTGAGATTTGGCAACATCAAAATATTCATTTTTCATATTGTTTTTAGGGTAGCAAATGACATATTTTGAGTTTTTACATTGCTTATACCTGTATATATCAAGTCTAGAGAAAAGTTCTAAAGCTCATTTTTTATTTAGAATGTCCTAAAAACCGCAAAATACTTTAAACAAAGCGAACAAATCAATTTTTGGAATCGGTTTAATAACAATTTTTGGAGCAATTTTGGGCCTAGTCACATGCAGATTCTTTAAGAGGTCCTTGAATCAGATTATGCAAAAATAGGAATCGGAAGAGTTTTCCGAGCAGATGTTCCAATATTATCTGGACTATTATCCGAGTTCTGTGACGTGCATTGGCGCAAGCGTGTGGGGAGGGGCCACTTGTCAACGTCAAGGCTGGTCCGCCAGTCCACGTGACACATAAGCCACAAAACACTCTTTCATCTGCTACTTTGACGTTAAACATATGATTATTTAAGGATATTTAACTTTCATGTTGCCTCAACTGCTACGTTGGCAATCCTGGCCGCGCATGCGCATGAAATGCTCATTTTCTTAAGTTAAGTTAGGTTAAATCGTGCATGAACCCACCTTAACTGAACGATGTTTTATGTTTAGCTATTTTATACCTAACCTATAATGAAACGTAAACAGGCGGCAATTGATTTATTTTGTCTATAAACAGGTTTTATTTATATTTTTCTGTTTTGAAGGTGTTTTATCTATATTCTATATAATACATAAAGTGAAAATAGGTAAGTTATATTGTTGTATTAGTACTGGAATTTGATATATTTCTAATAAACAGGTATGGAATGAATTGACCAAATAATGTTGGAATACCTAGTGTCAACGTATGCATTTGGTTTAGATTCCGTCATACGTTATGGATGTCCTGGTTTTGTGGGCCGATGGAACACGAAATGTCGTCGATTCCGGCGAACTGAAGTTGATTGGGTGCAAAACACTATCTATTGGCTGCAAAGTGAAAATGCTTTACGAAGGCAAATGGTATTCAGAAGAAGTGCGTGCTGTCGAAAAACTGGATGAAAGTGGATGGCAGCCATCAGAAGATATAGTCGACGAGGATTTGTCAGTTAGCTCGGACGATCTCCCACTTAGTACTTTTTGTAAGATAGTGGAAGAAAAATCAATGGTCAGTGTTTCCTTTGGTAAGGGAAACAGAAGTAGCTCTGACGACGAAGATGGTCCCTTACGTTATTTCGCCAAGAAAGCTTATGGAAGTAAAATGGACATTGAAGCTGAAACCAACGAATATGATTCTTTCTCTGATGATTCAGATGCCGATCCTTCATTTGGTAAATGTGAAGTGCGATGGTGCAAAGACGAAGTAGGGCCGCCTGCCACAAATGTGAAATCCTCTTATGTTGGAATCATTATCATGGAATCATGAAGAGCCAAAGTTTTGTTCTCAACATGGGATTCGTCAGCATGTTACTGCAGAAGATCTAATGGGAAATCATAACAATCCAGAAGATTATACTGTTGATGGCGCAGAGAAGGAAGTGCCTATTACACAAATAAAACAAAAAAGAGCCAATGCGCAGAAGTTAGCAAAAACGTTGCGTGATACTGGAAAAGAATATAAAAGTCCTGCGACAAGATTATTCCGCCAAAGTCTATTAAAGAGGGATGTCACAGGGAGAAGTGCAAGAAGGCCGGAAAAAGCTGTTTTCGAATCAGTAATACAAATAGGAGTGAAATATTTAAACAATTTTATGAGCTGGGGAATCTCATAAAACAGAGAGAATTCATAGCGCGACACATGGAAAAAACTACTACCAAGAAAAAAACAACCGGAAAGCTTGAATCAGAAAATGGACAACGTTACGTCGTATGCAAGAAGCTGTTTCTTAGTACTCTTTCTATTTCATCTCGTACATGTAGAACTGTAATATCTAAAACAAACGGCAATGGTATTTTAGAAGGCGAAAAGAGGGGAGGACCACAAAGAAGTTACGATAGAATTCAAATAGAAGAATTTATTCGGGAAGAAATCGAAGATCATATTCGAAGATTCCCATCCGTCGAATCTCACTATTGCAGATCAACATCTTCAAGAATGTATCTTCATTCCGACTTATCTTTACCTAAGATGTACAACATGTTTTTAGAACATCTCGAAAGCTCTGGATTGCAACTAAAAACCAGTTTAGCCACCACGATTGAGTTAAAAAGACTGATGAGAAATAGTCATAATATAAACGATATCGAACTAGAACAACTCAATAAGGAACCTGTAAAAATAACAAAAAAGAAGTACTCTGACTTAGTTTCGTTATGTGCAAATCCAAGTCCTGTTGGTCGCTTGCCAGAACCCCAAAACTTTTTTTAGAAATTTGCCCCATGAAACGAAATGAATTATTAGTAACTATTATTTTTTTGTATATCCATAACACAACAACATTAGGTGGTACAATGTTAACAAATAATGTTCAAATCTGTTGTTTTTCTTTTAGTTTTTACTGTAATAAAAATTGCTTTGACGTTTCGAGTTGTTTTTTTCATCCTTTCACCTAATATTTATGTCATAGTGTACATCAATTTTGGCCATGGACAATCAGAGAGATTTCGTATGGGGCACAACTTTAAAAATTCGATGTGTACTTTTTTCTCTTTTAACTTCTAAGATAATCGCCCCCCGGGCTGGGAATATGCTTCTTTGCTTATATCTGGATTAAATAAATTCTGTTTATCTTGAACAAGTATAATAACAAAACCATCAATAAAAATATACTTTAGCACTATCTGACAAAGAGCTTCTGAAAATTCTCACGAAGAGACCTATATGAGTTTTCCAATTTTTTCCAAAATAACTTGATAAGTTACCGCAAAATTTGGAACAGCATATAATCCACAATGAATATGGGCTGATGCACTGGCGTTTTCAATGCGGAAATATCTAAGCTGTTCATACAATGCTCATTCAATCGGACGCTTATTTCGTTTTCTTGCTCTCCTGTAAAATTTACTAAATGGTGGTTAGGACACTTCGTGAGAAAGGCGACGATATCTATGTATATATCAATAAATAAACTTGGTTTTTTAATTATAATTTCGTTTCCAGGATTTTATCTCGTTCCAGTTGCCTGAATAACTTTTAAATCTTCTCTAAGAATCCTCGATTTCCTATGCAATTCATTCAAGTCCGCGCGCTTTTTGCCCTGACTAGCTCCATCTCTCTCTCAGACCTCTTTGTCGTATGTTGGCCGCATTATCGTTTCATTGTACAAATGGGACGGGGCATAGCCTCCTTTACTCTGAAAGCCATTAAACTAGATCTGGCAACATTGCATGGCATTCGCTTAGTCTTAGTGGGTCTATTGTGAATTGTCGAGGATATGAGGATACATATTTTTGTATGGGTCTAAGGGTGGAAAATAATCAATGAAACAAAATTGTGATAGAAGAACGGTTTAATAGAAAAATTATCAATTAGTATATGTTTTTCACCTAGAACTAATCGCTTATTGCATACAAATATTAATTATTTATAAGCTAGGATGTCAAAGTTAATAGTTTTCTTTTCTTGTCACTTTTTTCTTTGTGACAAGTTGTTCTTATTTTTTGTAAAGTTATTTAATAAAATATTACATATAATGAATGTTGCATCAGTATATATTTTCTTATGGGGCATACCACATTCACAAATAATCTTAAGGTCAATGAATACATCTGATTCTAAACTTTCCACAATTAGTGTACCTAAAATATACTAAGTGACATATAAATCCGAACACCCAGTTTAAATGGTTTTATTTTAATAAAAGTTGGTGAATGTATTTATCTTACTGTAAATAACAAGTGAAAAAATGTTCAGCCTTATCAGTTGGACATTCCGGTTTTTATACTGCTTTTTTTTTAATTCACTAACGCTCTAAAAATGAATATTTCAGCCGCAGTAAAGAATCAACGTTGGCGGATTTTGGTTCTTGACATCCTTTACGACCGGTTACGATGCCTAGAGTACGGAGACCTGTACGATTTCGTCAACTTAGTGAGTTTGATAGGGGCCGTATAGTGGGACTTCGGGAAGCTGGACTTTCTTTTCGGGCAATTGCAGTTAGAGTGCAAAGAAGTGTAGACACTGTGGTTAGGTGTTGTCAGGCATGGCTTCGAGAAGGCCGTACGCAAAGCAAGGGGCACTGGACGCCGCCGTAGAACAACAGACCGTGAAGATCGCCGCCTAAGATTATTGGCCTTAAGGGACCGTTTCTCCACTACCAGGTCCATTACAAATGAATGGTTTGCAGAACACCGAAGACCTATTGCCATGCGAAGTGTTTACCGACGAATGAGAAGTTTTGGCTTGTTTTCATACCGGCCACACTGGGTCTCCCTTTAACTCGAGAACACCGACGTAATCGCCTTGAGTGGTGCAGACAACGGTCACTCTGGGATCATGAATGGAACAGTATTGTCTTTAGTGACGAGTCTCGATTTTGTTTAGGCATGCACGATAGTCGTGCCAGGGTTAGAAGGCGACGTGGTGAAAGGAGGAATCCACAGTTTTTTGTTGAAAGACATGTTCATCACACTGTTGGAGCTATGGTTTGGGGTGCTATAGCTTATGGTTCCAGGTCACCTTTAATCTTCATCAGAGGTAACATGAACGCGCAGCGTTATATCCACGAAGTTCTAGAACCCCATCTTTTACCCTATCTTGACACCCTGGCAGATCCAACTTTCCAACAAGATAATGCCCGACCACAAGTTGCAAGAGTCACAATAGACTTCTTTCAACATAATAATGTCACATTGTTACCATGGCCACCAAGATCTCCCGACTTATCCCCAATTGAGCACGTGTGGGATATGATGGGTAGGAGATTGCTCAATTTGCAACGTCCTCCTCAGACTCTAGAAGCACTTCGAGAGGAGTTGGTGGTTGCCTGGAATGAGATACCACAGGAGGACATTGACCACCTGATCAGAAGGATGCCTAGTCGCGTTGGAGAATGCGTAGCACATCAGGGTGCATCCACACATTATTAAAGGTCAAAGGGCTTTAAAGCAGTGCAATTATTTTGAAATTTTTATCATTTACTTATTGTGCTTCATTAAGTACTTATACAAAATTTTATTAAAGTAAAACCATTTAAACTGGGTGTTCGGATTTATATGTCACTTAGTATAGTTTTATGATCTAATCGGGCAAATAACATTTTCAAAGTATTTTCATGATCAATTATATAAGTAAAAATGGCACAGGCATGATGATAGATATATCCTATCTCATCAGCTGGAATACAAAGACCTCCTCTTTGTAAATAATCAAAATAATCTAATTCCAACATGACACCCCTGCTCCTAATTAGTTTTTCCTGGCATTTTGTACAACTAATTTTTTTTATGAGAGAATGGCCCACATATCCACATATGTATATTTTTACTGCTTCATCAACATCATAGCTAATTAAATAATCAGTTTCCAAAATAAAAAGAAAGTCTGATATATCCAGTGAAAATGTATCTTGCTCAGATGTTAAGGAAGAATTGCGAAGCTCTTTTAAATCAAATTCTGTGTTGCACGTCTTCAAAATATTCTGAAGTCTGATTTTCTTTTCAGATTCTAGAATTTGATTGAAAGAAACATGATAATTACATCCAGATAGATATCGATATCTACCAAACCTCTTTTCCAAATTATCTGTTTGAAATTTCCCACAAAGTACATACTCAACTGGAAAGTGTTCAAAAGAATAGTCTACAATTTTAATCATAACACTTGTACTATGTTTCAATGCATTGTATGTATCTTTACTGAGTCCAACGTTTTGAATATTTTGATGCCACGCATCCAATCAATTTAAAAATTTCTTCAAAAATTTAATATTTTCATTGTGAAATGGAATGATGGGACACGAGTGATCATCTCTTTTATGCGTACCCTTTAAAGTATTTTTTACATTTATGAGACTCCACCAATCATGCACTATTTGTAGAAAATTTGCTGTGCTGCTGTAACTACTGCAAGTTTTAAGGGCAGCGATTGTGGATTCATGGAAAACATTATTTGCCAAAACTACACTTTGTCTTTCTAAATTATTGGGATATAATGTTTTATCATTTAATTTGTAAGCCAGCTTAGTTAATTTTTCTATTTCATTCTTATAAAAGCTTCTAATATTTTCAAGTGAAGCTTTTTCTTGAACATCAAAATTATTATAATTTGGATACAGAAATGTATGCTCAAAATTTTTCAAATTCAACCAGTTATGATATATATTTTTAAATATGTGGACAAAATCAAATAGTGTAAAAATTTTTTCTGCAGGATCTGATGGATTTGAAAAATATACATCACCATTACACAGACACCTAAAAACTTTTTGATTTACTCTATTGTTATCAGTGATTACGCACAACACTTTAAACCCCTCCATTTGTATGTATCTGATTACATCTAACACTATTTGGGACAATTCATCAGCTGGCATATTATTCAGTGGTACAAGACGTACAACTTCTTTAAAATTGGCAAATGAAGATGATATCATGAATGTCTGAACTGTTTTGGCTAGCTTAGTAGGATCATTCTCAGCAAACCCAGTCACATTCTTTGCTTTATACTGTAAACCAGTTTTTACATAAATTTCATCAATTAAAAGGCATACAATTTTCTCTCTATCAGAGAGATTTGAAGCTGCATGTTGAAGGTAACTATTTTTTCTCTCTTTGTCTAAAATTGGTGAAACATTAAACTCTGAAGAAATTTGCTTTAAGGGTGAATATCAGGTATTTGGGTTTTTAGTGGTACCTAAGAAAAATTACTTATTTCAGTTTCATATTCATTACCTCTTAAGATTACACTATTTATGATGCATCTTTGACAGGACCAGATAGTTTTTTGATTTTTAAAGATTTTGCAGCTATCAGGGTAAAATGTGTAGTCAGGGGAGTGACACTATAGACAGGGTAGTGACAAACTGAGACAGAAGAGTGACAACTTCTCATGTGAATGATCTTGAAGGACACTTTATAAAAGAATATAAATACCAATAGGTAAATAAGTTCAATAGTTTTTTATTGAAAATAACAAAATCCTACATGTTCTATTAGTCTCTTACAAAATAATATTTGGATCAACAGAGCGAACCCTGCTCATACAAGAACTAATATAAATAAAAACCACTATAGCTGTTTATATATTGCAACTTAATATAGATAGCAATGTAGGTACCTGAGTAATAATAATAAGAATAATAATAGAAATAAAATTATAAAAACTTAAAACAAAAAATTGACATAATACTTATGGTCAGTCTTTGAATCGCAATCAGTGCTTATAAATAAAAAACGGTAGCTAGCATAAAAATAAAATTAACATAGGTATAACCCGATCTTTTATGAATTCGAGTAGATACTCATTTTTCGAATGCAGGTATAGGAGTTCTGAATTTATAAAATAATATATTTCCTCTCATTACTATATTTGGCACCGGCAGTCTTTCTAATACTTTTCCAACTTTATGTCGGAAATGTCATGCGATAGAAACATTAGTAATTTAGCATTGCTTGAAAACTCATAAAGTCTATAATTTTCGTTCTTCTTAAAGAGAGCAAAATCAACTCCATATTTGCATGAATTACACACAAGCATGTTTCTCTTCTATGAACGTTTGGATATACAATCCAAAAAGGTCTCAAACGACAAAATGAAGTATAACTTATCGGCACTCCTTTGGTTTTAACGAACCGTGCGTGTAAATGCTTCATCGAGTCTAGTAAAACAATCTTTTGTTTTTTTACTTTGTTTTTCGTAATGTAGTCATTTTTTCCTGCGCATAAGCGACTGTTGCAGTCTCCTTCAAAAAAATTTTTAATTACGTTCTTTATCTTCTCTCTAGTTTCATTCATTCTTGTTCTCCTTGTCACGTCTATCAAACCTCTCCCTCAGTGGGTTATCGTTTCATAGGCTTCATATCAATTTGACTTAAAACATTGTACTTTCTAACAAACCTACCATTCAATACTTTACGAAACAGTGTCTTCTCATTTTTCTTTTTGGTATGCCTTATATTTTCTTTTAGTTGATTTTGAACTACCTTACTGAATTATGCTTTTTAACTTCTTCCACGTTCTCCTGATTACTTGGTTTTATTTTTTTTTTTTAGTAATCGGTCCACTTTCGACTTTGGTGACATTTTTAGACTTCTTACGTGATCTAGTTTCCTTTGAAATCTCTTCACCTTGTTTTTTAATTGATCAGTTTCGTTTTTTTGTTTTTTGATAAGCTCATTTATCCGTTTCCTCTGTTTTTCTGACGGTCTTTTGGCACCTGAAGCTCTATTGTCCAATATTTGAGGATCAAAGTGTGGATCTTCATGGTCTGAAGGCGGCGGTGACTCTGGATAATTAACAATAGTTTTTTGCCTCACACGATCCCTATATCTTTCAGTTTGCTCTCTCCATATCTTTCTCATAGCTCGCTGTTCCCTATCTGTCAGATCTTTTATACTTCTAACTTGTACTTTCTCCTTCTTTCTGTGATACTTCTCTTTTCTTTTTCTTTTAATTCAGCATTCTTGATTGGATCATTTTTAATTCGCTGGCGCGTGGTCTTTCTGCTTGGCGTTTTTTCTCCAATTTTTCCTCTCGGGTTTGCTTTTTTATAAATTTGCCATTTTAGCGAGTTATGGCTTTTTTGGTATCTGAAATTAATGAAATAGTGTCTATACAGCCCGCTGATTGATGTAACAGATTGGTATGAACACTGACAATGAGCGTTTGAGCACTGAATACGGCCCTAGGCGTCTGGCCGTGTCTGGCCCGGCCCCTCATGCCTGACCTATTTCAGATCTACTGCCTCTTGAAGTTGAATTTGGTATAGTAGCTACACATCTTATACAAAAAGGTGCCTTTGTATTTCCCCTGGGCAGTGTGTATTTCCCCTGACATAAAAACTGCCAGGGGAGTGACGCCAGGGAAGTGACAAAAACGTGCGTAAGCCCCAAAAAAGCAAGATACGTTGATTATTATATTATTTTAACGTGATTCATGGCTTTTGTATTCAAAAATCTTAATTTTTTATAAAGTCGCAAAAATGTAACTTTTAAATTCACAAAGACATGCTTACCAGGGGAAATGCTTCACCCACTGGCAAAAGGGTATCGGACGACTGTTAGTGGGCTACTGACGCGTCCCTGGCCTTCGTTTTCCAAATTACGATAGTTTCGCACTATCCCTTCTTCATTTGCCACTTGCTGCTCAAGGTCACGTCGCATATTTTGATGAATATATGCAATTTGAATTGCGCCAGGTGAGGGTGACACTGTTCTCAGGAACCACTGACAAATGGGATTTTTTACGCATTTATGTATATTTTTAGTGTGTCTTTTTGCGAAAATATGTTATCAGATGTATTAGGTAATACAAAGAGTATCCGCTTATTGTTATACCAGTACATAATACAGAGATTTGTTGATGTTTGTAGTGAAATTTGGGAATGGAACATGCCAGGGGAGTATAAAATAAATTTGTCAGTACTTTTGTAGATGAACTTTTATTAATGCATCAGCAACAGTTGGTTACAGGGGATTAAGTAACAAAATGAGTACAGAGAATGGTCGACGACCGGTTTTATATCTCAAGATAACAATTTTCCAGAAATGTGTCGGGTGAAAATGCAAGCTTCACATCCTGTCTCACGAGTATAGAACGGTATTATACTCGTTGGGACTTGGATGATGTTAATGTTATCAGAATACCATAACTCCTCCCCACGGTGAAAAAGATTCGTCTCGAATCAGAATAATTAAGTTAAAGGTATTTACTCAGCTGGTTGAGAAATTGGAGGCGAGGGTGGGACTTTGGTGTCCTTCACATAACGATATTTTACAAATACAATAATAAAGATGATTAAAAATATGAGAATACAAACCAAAATAATAGGATACCCTACGGTAGATCTATAATGTAAATTTTGAAATTTGACTTGCAAAGAAGTAAGGTTTTGATGCAAATAAGAGTTCAATGAAACATTTGTTTTCTGAAAATGATATTGTGTACCTGTTGCTGCATAAGCTAGGTCTAGCTTAATTTGAAATGTAGTATCAAATTCTAAAATTTGATGATCGACTAAAGTATTACATTCTAAAATAATATGTGTTGCATAATGAATCCAAGAAGTACCTTTACAGTCTCTTATCTTTGTTAATTGATTAGTATCAATTACATAATTATTTTTATTTAATTCTAATATTCTCGTGTAGTTTGTTATGCTTTCAGACTCAAACATGTTGAACCTCTGTGGTTGACGGGAGACTGGAAAGTACTTTTACAAACGTACAGTTGATTACTTAGCTTAACAATGTCAGAACAGTAATAATTCTTTTCATAAGTCAATAAATGCTCACTTGGTAACATAATAAGTTCATGATTAATAGAAATTGCAAATAATTTATACAATGTAAATTCCTTAATATCTAAAATGGGAAACTTGATTACAAATATAAATTCATCTTCTAAACAGATAATAGATTTCGAATAAATGAATGGAATCAAATGGCAGCAATTGTTCCTTTTTAAAAATGTTTTGTAGATGTTCAATAAGTAAACTTACTTGATGATGCCTTAATTGCAAAGTATTGAGACCAGATTGTTGGTTCAACTGAATGGCAAGTAATAAAGAATTTAGATAATTGTTAAATTGTTGCATGTTAGTAATAATGGAAACTTGATGTATCATCTGATGTGAAAGTAAAGTTTGCTTTTCAATAGTCTGAGCATTGTATAAAATAACAGACTGAATACGTTTAGTATTTTCTTCAAAAGTTTTCTGTAGAGACTGACAAAATGAAATAGTCTTTTGCTGATTAACCAATAAGTCATCTTGATTATTTCTGAGAGCTTCTTGATTCTTAGTAATTTGTTCTAAATCATTTTGATCTAAATTTCCAGATATGAATCTAATAACAGATCCTAATCCATTAATTAAACCTCTTCTTACTCTGTGTTTTGAAATTTTGAAATGAACAACTCACTTTCTCGTATAAAGGTAGACAAATTACTTTGGTTAGGAGAAAATTTTTTTTCAGAGAGTCTTTGAGACTCCTGAATCGTAGTTCAAGCATTCTGTAACGTTCATTACCATTTGGTTGTGCCATTGTGATTTCAGAATTTGAAATATCTGGTTCAAGAGAAGAATCACTAGAACTAGAACTTAAATGTGGATAAGTGTAAGGGGAGTATGAACTCTCTCTAGTAAATCGTCTAACAAGAGGCATAAAAATACAATCTTAAAACTAGCAATCAAAGATGTAGCAAAATCAAATATTTTTACAAATAATTCGTCTTGTTTTCCAAATTTTATCTCTTCCTTGTACAATATCAATTAATTGCAAAATCTTCTTTCTCCTTTAATTTCTTCAATAAAAATCTTCTTATTCTTAATAAGTTTCTTAAACTACTTACAATGACGTGATCAGCATCGATGTCGTCAAGGGACCCATTCGTTCTGTTTTCCGGCTGTTCTGGATGCAAAAGTTGTCTCCACAAAGGTACTGGAACTTGCGTGGTCTTACCGGCCACTAGGATGAAGTTGAAACAGGAACTTGAGAGGTCTTACCGGCCTCGGAGCTCGTTCACAGGTTTCAGTAGCGATACCCAATTGCAAAAGTTTGAAAACTTTTACCTTCAAGTTCAGCTGGCTTCTCAATGAATCTTCGTGATTTCTGACTAAGTCACACTACTCGATGAAGGCTGGGTATCCTGTTCGCAGCGCCAAATAAATTTGTCAGTACTTTTGTAGATGAACTTTTATTAATGCATCAGCAACAGTTGGTTACAGGGGATTAAGTAACAAAATGAGTACAGAGAATGGTCGACGACCGGTTTTATATCTCAAGATAACAATTTTCCAGAAATGTGTCGGGTGAAAATGCAAGCTTCACATCCTGTCTCACGAGTATAGAACGGTATTATACTCGTTGGGACTTGGATGATGTTAATGTTATCAGAATACCATAACTTATACATTTTGTTAACTTTCAATCAGATTTTTCCTAAATCTTAATGGTTACCTCAATTTCGCCATATGTTCCAACTAAAGATTTACATCTTCCACTATTTGGATGGTCTATTTCCACAATTTGTCCATTGGATTAAGATTTTTTTGCAGGAACATTGAATTCCCCAATAACTGATATTCACCCTTAAACGTCTACTCGTAGGGAGAATTAAATAATCTCTAATATGTTCATATGTTGAAGATGACTGATTGAAAATAATCAATGAAAAAATTAAAGTCAGCATATTATATACCTTTTTCAATGTAATGAGAGAATGCTGGTCCCTTAAAAGTTCTAAAGTTGTGAGATGTTTTGTTGATTTAAGATTGCAATTGCTGATATCAGATGTTCATGTGCCTTTTTCAAATGAAAAGTACCATCCAAGTCAGTATGCTGAGCAAAACTATACCTTGTCAATAAATTTTCAATCTGAGACCATCTTTGAAGCTTCCGCTCTGGTAAAATCCACCTTAAGTCATTAGGAGATAATTCCGTGTTATGGAGGAATACTTGCACAGTCATGTCAGAATGAATGACTATACTATTGATAACCTTAACACCTTCCTCTAACACATCACAGTCAGCATTTAACAAATAAAAATAAAACACTTCACCACAATTTTTCAAGCACCAGTTTTTCAGCACTGTTTTTGTCTGCACAAGTAATTTGAATTCATCAAAGTCTACAATCAAGTCATCATTTAAAAATGCCTCAATTTGATCAGTTTCTCTTTGGATGCATTCTTTTTGTCGTTCCTCTGGATCTCGACGTGCTTTCGGCTCTGGAGTACTCATATATTTTGCTAAATTTGCAAATATATGGGGTACAGCCAATGAACTGGCAACACTGATGGAAGGGGCTCACGGCGAATTCGTTGCGGCTAGAATGAGCGACGAAATTGTGCGAGAAGGATACAGCTAATCCGGGCAGAAAAACGTAAACAAACAGTTGGATGTGTGTGCGTTTTCTATAAGTTTTTGGTGTTTTTTGTTAATGGTGCTATTTTAAAGCAATAACGAAGTTTGAGGTGATTGTTGTAAACATTATTTTTGGACCGTACAAACTTCAAGTGCTTTTGTTTTGTCATTTGTGTTTCTAAAATGGTCGAATCGTGCAGTGCAGTGAACTGTTGTAATAGGCGCAGAAAAGATGTAAAAATGAAGTTTCATAGGTTGGTTGAATCCTCCAATTCATTTTTGTCTGGTAGAATTTTGATTCTTGATTAGTAATTTGAGAAAATATCTGAATTTTTAGGATTCCTACAGATCCTAACATGCGAAAGCTGTGGTTGATCGCAATACGAAGAGTGAAGTTTACACCCAGCACATCAACAGTAATTTGTGAAAAACATTTCACACCTGATGATTATGAAGTTAATGTGCATGGAAATAGGGTACTAAAAAAGTCGGCAGTTCCATCTGTTTTTGATTTTCCTGCCCATCTCAAAAAAAAACCTACTGCACAACGAAGGGTATTGAAAAGAAAACGTGAGGAATCAACATCAAAAGAAACAGGTCTCTTTTGACTAATAAGTCTCAAATTGAGGTTTTAAGTTCTGTACTTCCACAAAAAGAAAAGATACAATGATTAAGTAGGTATAACTTAGTAACCTAATCATTTTTAGATCAAACCTTGGATATTTGTGAAGCAGTAGAAGAACCTGAAAATGACCCTATCAGTGTTGATGGAAATTTATTGGTAGCTGGACCTTCATCAAACTCAGCACTAAACCCAGAACACCTTGAATCAAGTGAACTTTTAAACATGTGCAATCTAAGGTAATTATCATCCAACTCTGTGTTTTTCATTTGTTACTTTTTTTCATTTTCATGTTCAGGAGAGAACCTGTATTCTTTGGAGACTTCAAATTTTCTGATTTAAGTAATTTGCAACGCAGGAAGAGATTCTGGAAAATTACTCATGAGACTGTTTACAAGTACAGAAAAATGATCAAGTACAATAAGTGTACAATACGCAGACAAAAAGATAAAATAAATAGTCTGGAAAGTCTAGTGGATCAACTATGTGAAGAGAAGAAAATATCTGCAGCTCAGTCATTAGTACTTAAGGTAGACATTTGATGGAAGGATATTTTCCTTTAAGCTTAAGATGAAAATATATTACAATTGCTACTTAGATTCCACTATTTTTGCTTGTGAAATTTGCATTTTTATTGTTTAACTCTGTAGCATGTCTATTGATTGCTAGCTAGGGTGATCATTCTATCTAACTTTTTTAGCCTGCATGAAATTTTCAGCTTATGCATGTATTTATCTTATTTTTACAGGAAAGTCTTTCAGAAACCCAAAAGCAGCTGCTTTTCAGGCAGCTGAAAAAAGGAAAAACTAACAAATATAGCCCAGAGTTGAGATGTTTTGCACTAACATTAAATTTTTATTCATCATCAGCGTACAACTATGTTAGGAAAATATTTGGAAAAAAAGTTTTACCACATCCACGCACTCTTTCAAAATGGTATAGTGTTGTAGATGGTACACCTGGATATAGCGAAGAAGCAATTCGTGCTATAAAAATTAAGGTGGAAGCTGAAAAAGAAAAGGGAAAAAAGCTTGTTGGTGCCCTGATGATGGATGAGATGTATATTCATCAGCATGTACATTGGACTGGGAGTAGAGCAGTAGGCTACATAAATATTGGTGTTACAATGCAAAGTAGTCAGGAGATGCCAAAGGCCACAAAGGCTTTAGTCTTCATGGTTGTTGGCATTAATACTAGATGGAAAGTTCCAATAGCTTATTTCCTAATAGAATCATCATTGGCTGAAGAAAAGGCTACCTTTGTCAGGGGGTGCTTGTTACAATTGGAAAGCACTGGCATATTAATTAAAAGTTTGACTTTTGATGGTGATGCATCAAATATCCTCATGGCAAACTTATTAGGTGCGAATTTAGGTTTTCCATGTAGTCAGCCTTTTTTCATTAATGCCAATAACAATGAGAAAATACATATAATATTGGATGCTTGCCACATGATTAAATTGGTTCGCAATACTCTAGGCGACTATGGCGCTCTAAAAGATGGTGGAGGGAATGACATTAAGTGGGAATATTTCAAACAACTTGTCAACCTACAAGAAGATACAGGTCTGCATTGTGCCACTAAACTTAGGAGGAGGCACCTGAACTACTATAAAGAAAGAATGAGAGTGAAGTTAGCAGTACAAACATTTAGTTCAAGTGTGAGTGACGCGTTAGAGTATTGTGAGAAAGATTTAAACATACCTTCTTTCCAATATGCAGAAGTGACTGCAACATTTTGCAAAAATATTAATAATGTATTCGATCTGCTGAATACAAGAAATTTTCTTGGCAGCACCCAGTTCAAAAAACCTTTATATAAAGGTAGTGAAGAGTTTTTAAGAAATTTTGTACAGACTTCTATTAGCTACTTAAGTACAGTAACAAATTACGAAGGTGTTAATATATTACAGACTAGTAGAAAAACAGGTTTTTTGGGATTGATTATCTGTTTGGTTAGTGTTCAAAATTTATTTGAAGATTTAGTGAAAAGTGGGACTTTAAATTTTTTATTAACGTACAAATTGAGCCAGGATCATTTGGAAATGTTTTTTGCCGCAGTACGTAGGAGAGGGGGTTTTTCCAATAATCCAACAGCATGGCAATTTGAACAAGCCTATAAGAGGTTGCTGATTCACAGCGAAATTGCTTCCTCTGAAAGTGCAAATTGCTTAGCACAAGACAGCACCTCTATTTTGAATGTTACCTCAAAAAAAGTAAAAAATCCTTCTCTCGATGTACTGTATGAATTTGAGGAAGATTTTTCTCCCGATTTACAGGAACAATACATTGTTAATCACAATAAAATTTTAAACTGTGTGTATATTTGTGATGTTGTGGAATATATAGCAGGTTTTGTCAGCAAAAAACTAGGTCAGACCCTGAATTGTAACGAATGTGCCAAATCAGTTACAACATCTGATTCTACTTGTAAGCTCCTGAATAGGAAAAATAGAGGAGGTCTAAGCAAGCCTACAAAAGATGTTAAAGTGTGTATGGTTGCAGAAAGTATTATAAAGACGGAGACTAACTTTTCCATTCCGAATATAATGTTGAAGTTGATCTCGGCTGCAATGAGAAATTTAAATTTCAGGGAACTTTTTTTGTGTTTATCGGAGCACTGTCTAGAACAAGACCCACTTGATGGCCATATCATTCAGTTGATCAGATTAATTTTTAAAAATTATTTCACTATTCGCCTTCACCATATAAACTCGACCAAAAATCAAATTACCGACAGAATTAGGCAAAGGTTAACCAAAACAATTCATTTTAGAAATCAATAGTGATGTATTCCAGTCAGGAACAAAAGTAATACAATACCAACAATTTGAAATTTCATCCATTGATTTCCTTTAGTTAACTTACATAAATCAGCCCTATACCAAAGATATTTGTAAAATAAGTAGGACTACCCACTGGAATCTTCAAGAAAGATTTGTGCGCAGGCTACCTTTTCAATTCCTTTGTCACACTATCAAGTAACATCATATACCGCATTTGGCCGCATAACCATATAAAAGTTTGACTTAATAAAACATATATTTGAAGGAGTTTACACAAGTCCGAGTTTCTCCGAAACGTGAGTAGAGATAAGTAGATACAACACTTGCTCTCCAAATCTATATATATATATATCTGTAAAATCGTGCGAGGTGTCCTTAGTATCCATTTTCACAGTCTTTCTTCAAAATGCTTGGAATTCAAAGCGTTCACTACCGTGTATCTCTGTCAATTCAGAGTAAAGACGTGGTGCTATAAAATGTAATGAAAACTATTCTTTTTGTTTTTTGCTAGAATATGCCTATTTCCTTTTTCTAACTCATGTCTTCAACTATGGCAGTGGGAGATGAGCATTAAAGTTTGCCTATTTTTGTGTTGGTATATTAAAATATTATAGACAAAGAGCTGCCTGAGGTCCATCTTTTTTTATCATTATACCATGTCGAACGACCCTATCTCTGCTATATATGTTCTTGTTTTAATGTTCTAAAAAAAAATTTTTTCATATACGTATAAGATATATATATTTTGTATTTTTTTAAATGGTGATGTAATAAATTGCTACTTCCAGAAATTGCTTTTTTATTAAAATTACCGCTATTTACTATATTTTGAGGCTTTTATGACGTTCCAGGTGCTTGGATAAGTATTAAATCTTTTTTATTCGTAGAAATCCTCATTAATCGATATCGCTTCATTCATATTTCGCGCGCTTTTGCCCGGGCTAGCTCCATCTCACTCGGGCCGCACATTCGCTTCATTGTTCAAATGGGACGGGGCCATTCCATCAGTGTTGACAGTTCATTGGGTACAGCTCCTCTTTTCAATGTTGGAGTTCTTGAAAAACACTATCCTTGTCCTTAAAAACCCCATAGCGCCTTATTTCACCTTCTGTAAAATGCTTGCAGCATACCACTGAATGTTTTGTTATGGAATAGTTGTCACGGTGAATGGCCTTCAGCCATAACTTTTGAAGGGATTCTTCATTTGGAAAACAAAAAGTTGTTTGTAATTCTTCATTTTTCAGGGTACTTTTATAATTAGATTTGCAGCCTGGCACGCAACATAACCTAGGCATCTGAAAATGAAAAAAATACTATATAAATTTTGTTCTTGGTTCGAATAACACGTTATAGGTTCTTGAAATTATTATATCTGATGAAATGCAGTACTGTATTAATTTATACTTACATTCAAACAATTATGAGGAGCTGATTGAAAACAGATCTTTTCAAATCTACAGCGTACAAATCAATTCACGTGCGGTCCAAATCACAATCACAAATGGAGCAAAACTTTTGCTGCAAAACCACAGCAAAACACAAACACGAGGAAAATGGACGAGATTGGCGATAGAGGATAGACCCACACGCGGCGTTGCCAGATGTATGCTTCATGGCTTTCAGTGAAGGAGGCTGTGTTACTTTGATTACTCCGAGTATAACGATTTGACAGCATGCGTCGTAATTAATTAATGTCGGATTTGAACAACTTCAATGGAACTAACTATAATATTATCTTGTAAGGAATAAGAAAACCTAAAAACTGAAAATACTTTGTATTTACTAAAACTGCTTAAAAACATGCCTTTTACTAGAAAAGCTTGAGCAAATACGGAATGGCAAATAACTTTTCGAAGCATTTAAATTATGCATGTATAAAAAAATCCATATGGAGCTTAGTCTATACATACTATTGATGGTCAAATTGATTTTTTTTTTATTATTGGATGAAAAGTAACATCTATATTTTGTAAGAAAATAAAAGATATTTAGTCTTAATTCCACAACCAAAGAGGCTTTCTCAATAAAACAACGGAATAAATGATGCAATGAAAATAAAAAAACAGAAACAACTCATAGATAGAATGTAACAAAAAAAATATATTTTCTTAAAAACAAAACGACACAGGTTTGCTTAAAAAATATCAAAATATATAATGAAACAAACAATAAAAACTCATAAACAACACATACGGCGAGGTTTAAATTTGGCTGACATCGTAATGTGTACGAGAGAAGCGCGAAATATCTGTTAGAAAGCGTGCGCCGATGGCATCAGTGAGCCTATATTTGGGATGCTAGGCAACGCGATGCTCCTATTTCTTAGCACACGTATTGCACGCTTCCCGCGCTTTTCTCTCATACACATTACGTCGTCAGTGGTATTTGGTTTTCAGTATTTAGAATGTAGCACAAACGCAATTACAAACTAAATCCTCATTAGGAGGTAGTGGCTGGAAAATTGGGAATGATTCATCCAACTTAAACATTATTAAACTACACTATTATTAGCTACATGACTATATTTTTTTATTTAATGAAAGAGAGTCTCAAACCAATGACTAAAAGAGTCTACAAAAAACTCATAGGTCGTGATTATAATGTAAAAACAGGATTTTTGCTACATTCTCTCCCTTAAACCTATTTCTTCTCTCCGAAATTAATTGTCCAGCTGTAGAAAAAATCTTTCAGACGGTACTGATGTAGCGACAATGCATAAATATCTTCTAGCTAACTTCCCTTTTTGAAGTGGTTTGGCTATTTGTCCTTAGCAGTGATATGGTAGGCAAGGCTACTTCCTTATTACTTCCCTCAGATGTTGGAGATTGCATCTGCTGAGATATAGTTGATGAGGTCGAAGCTGCCATACTACTGCTTCCTGTAAAAACCATCATGAGGCAACAATTACTTTTCAATTCACTGAAGATTTTGTAAAATTAAACAAAAATCTATACAACTTTAATAAAAATTCTTTAACATGAGGAATAAACAGCATTAACTATCATAGACCTACAATACAAGTAAGTTTGATTGAGCTTCAATAAATAGTGCAGATTGTTAGTGTACAACCTTCAAGAATCTGAGAAACCAACAGAGAATACAGCAAAGTCCAAAAACACTTTTATCTTCAATTTGAAAATTTAGGCATAGTACTTCTCTCACTTATTTGAGAAAAATAAAATCAAACTTTGCCTACATGATGTTAAAACATCTTTAAATAATAATTGCCCATATGTGGACTATAATAAAATGATAATGTATGTAATGAAGATCATAGAGTAGTCTTACCTTCAGTACTTGCATGATTTGATTCTGTTTTTGGAAATGGTTTAGATTGCGTTAAAAAAGTGTGATGTTTCAATTATAGGTGCTTTTTAAGATTTGAAGTTGATCCTCCTATATAAGAATATTTTTAGCCACATTATATTGCACATAGCATTTCCCATAGAAAGAGTCGTAAAATGGAGCCAAATTTCACTTCGCTTTAAACTTACGTCCATTTCAACCTAAAACAAAATAAAATGTTTAAAAAACCCACATTGTTTCTAATGATTCAGAAAAAGAATCTCATGCCGGTTTTGTTTTATCTATCCTTGATTCCTTGAACCCGGAATCCGTTTCAGGAACAGAAAATCTCAAAGCTCAAAGTTACCCAGGCCAGAAAACAAACGCAATTTAAAACGCGTTTCATGAAGGGTGCTGTTACCCTGTTGTCGCTTTTCCGACTCATATTCATAATACTGCCGACGTGCCGACCATCGGTGCCGACCTTTGCTCCAATCCAATCGATTCCTTATCCCTTTTAAGGTGGCGAAAATGACAACTATAAGAACTAGTCACGGTAAAAATAGGTACATTTTTTTTATTGGCGGGCATAGAATTTGATAACTATTTTTAAATCTGGAGCTTCCACCCGATTGTGGGATGTTTGGCAACCCTGATGCATGAGCGGCAGTGCTACAGTGAAACCAGCGTTGCCCCTCAACGGTCACCGATTGTACGGGTACCGGTAGCCGATCACCGAACGGATACGGACAACAGAGTAATCAAAGTAATCAAGTAATCATTTCGTGCTCGGATTAGTACTCGTTACTTCGGGTATCTATGAGTAACGAGTACTCGAGTATCGTATGATTACTTTTTCAACACCACTAGATTCTCTATCTTTATCTAAATGTAAAAATAACAAATATGTCGTTTGTTTTGGTTATTTCCAGAGTGCTGTTGCGTTTTGTAGAACTTCCGATTTCACTGTTTTTTCACTTGAAACTTATAGAGGGTAGTCTGATACATTATATTAAAACAAGAAAAGTGTGGATGAAGCACTTTTTTAATGAAATTTTTTTCCCCAAACACTGTATTTTTAGCAGTTTTTCCACCATTAACTCCACCGCCATCTGCCGTATGACGTTGACGTCTGTGCATATGTCATAGTATATGAGTGGGGCGTGCCTGCACTGTTGCCAGATTGGGCTCCGCATTTAGGGGAAAATATGAAAAGTGGAAATTTATATACGTATATTAGTATTATTTTTACTCGTTGAATAATGACAAGTATTGAAATCTACTGCAAGTCCAATTATATCGCTAAATTAATTTTTTGTGAACCTTTGCTATGAATTCTCATACCGAGCATATCGGTATAACTGTCTTTGAAACGTAAAAACTATACTACTCTGTGTTCGATAGTCTAAGTCTAAGCAAAGATAGATGTATGTATATCTACCGACTGATTGACGGTGTTTGAATCTATAAAATACCAGTATCGCATTAATTACTTACAAATTCCTTCAAAGTACCCATCGCTTGCAAGTTAATGGGAGGAGATGGATGTATCATCCAAATCGACGAATCTCTTATAGTGAAACGAAAGTACAACGTAGGCTAGCTTCCTCGAAGGAAGCAGTGGGTCCTGGGCCCTTTCGATGTCTCCACGAAACGTGGGCACATTATTTATGTTCCCAATAGGAATGCGAGTACGCTTGAGAACGAAATACAAAAATTTGTCAAGCCGGGAACAGAAATCTGGACGGACGGTTGGGCCGACTACAATCGCTTGGGGAACCTAGGAGGTGTTTCCCCTACATCCATGAAACAGTGAACCACACTCTAAATTTTGTGGATCCGGTGACAGGAGTGTCACTAATAAAATTGTAGGGGACTGGTCTAGATTAAAGCAATTTTTGAGGCGGCTGGATGTCATGCAGTCGCCTCATTTACCCGAATATTTTGACCAGCTCATTTCGTGGAGGCTCTATGGTTCTAGACCCGGAGACCGATTCAAAAATATATTGCGACAAATTGCGGCAAACTATACCTTTTAATATTGAATACTTTCTATTCATTTTAGTTTTTGGATTTGTTATTTAATTTTCTGTTTTTACTCTTTGTTTTCTGTTATCACTTAGAATTGCTTTTTATTTTACTGTTTGTTGTTTTTCATAATTACATGAAGTTGTTTTTTTATTTTGCTGCTGTTCTTATTTTTTGTTATCATTTAGAATTGCTTTTTAGTTTACTGTTGTTTTTTGTTTTCTATAATTACATGGAATTGTTTCTTGTTTTACTGTTTTTATAATTATTTACAATTGTTTTTAGTTTACTACTGTTATATAATTATTAAGAATCGCTTTTTATTTTGCCAGTGTTGTTTGTTTCAGTTTTTCGCTTTTGTGTTTCATTATTTTCATACTTTCCCCTAAATTCGGAGCCCATTCTGGCAACAGTGCAGGCAAGCGCCTCTCATATACTATGACATATGCACAGACGTCAACGTCATACGGCGGATGGCGGTGGAGTTAATGGTGGAAAAAAAATTTCATGAAAAAAGTGCTTCATCGACACTTTTCTTGTTTTAAAATAATGTATCAGACTACCACCTATAAGTTTCAAGTGAAAAAACAGTGAAATCGGAAGTTCTACAAAACGCAACAGCACCAGTCACTAGCTTATTTACGAAGAATTACGAATTATATTGGTGTTTTCTGTATTGTTTCAGAATTATCAAGAGGCTTTACAATGAATTTGGAATAAGTCTATTTATATTTTCATATATTACAATTTTTATACCATTGTCAACAGCATATGATTACTTTTTGAGACTAAATATATTCGATGCTTCATAATTAGGGTTGGATTTGATTATTCTGAACCTTGTTCTCAGCAAAACTGCTGAAAGAGATATTACCCTTATTGGGGATATTTCATGAATAATATGTTAATGAAATAATCCTTCGATATCGGAAATATCATTTTCAGCAGATTTAAAATCATGAACATTCCTAGCATTTCTTATTCCAGGCGCATTCTTGGCATCCTTTCTCCTCCAGGCAAGTAGGCGGCGCGGCGCAATCGTCTGACAAACGTCAACGCTGTTGCCATTGCTTAAGGCCGGTTGCACACATGGCGGATTTTGCCGCGGCGGACAATTGACCGTCGCCGCCCACAGAGTTAGCCACATATACATACACGGCGGTTGTCACCGCCGCACACTCTGTTTTTGCTGGATTCGCGACTTGACCGCGGGTGGAGTTGTTTACACGGAAATAGCTGCGTTTTTATCGAAATATATAATATTTTGCAAATGAACAGAAAACAACTCATAGCTTTATTGTTATTCCGTCGTCGAATGAAAAGAAGAGGAAACAATCGGCTCATATGGGTTCATCCAATTAATAAAATGAGGCAGAAAGTTGGGACCTTCTACACATTGTTTGAACAGTTAAGGAACGATGACACAAAATTCTTCAATTACTTCAGAATGTCGATTACATCCTTTGACGAACTGCATGAGCGATTAAAAGATAGCATTCAGCGCAAAAATACGAAAATGAGGAATTGCATTCAGCCCATAGAAATGCTGGCAATAACACTGAGGTACGTAAAAATTTAAATTTACTGTTTTTTCCTTAATTTTTATTTGAAACAATTATGAATGGAATAATATAATAATACAATTGGTAATTCAGTATCGTTAAAAATTAACATTTTAGATTCATTGATACTTCTTTAAGGTGTGTATCCACCGAAAAAGCGAGCATAAGCGAGTAAGCATGCTGCATCAATAATCGACTAGTGAACGCGAACAAAGAAATGTTTGTTCCCACTAGTCGATTGTTGATGTATAATGCTTGCTCGCTCATGCTCGCTTTTTAGGTGAATATGCACCTGAATATTCGTTTATAAAAAATGGCAAGAAAATGCTGAGAATAATAATATTGATGCCTAATGATAGTAATAGTTAAAATAGAAACTTGTGTTTTACATTTGCTGCGGTATATGGCACGTGGCAATAGGAAAATGTTGGGTTATTAAATATCGCCGTTGATCGGGCTAAGTAGTGTGAGCGTCAAAAAAAAATCAAATTGATTTTGAGCACACCAGAAGCTTCCTAGTTTGTTAATATACGATCTGGCATACATATAAGACAGATTTGAAATTTTGACGCTTCGCCACTTTGCCAGATCAGCGACGATATACAACATCTAATATAATGTAGAATACAATGTAGAATTAGAAGTTGGAGTCCATTATGCTAGAATTTTGGGAAACCACTGATGAACTTCTTGCACAGTCGTCTTCCTCAAGGAAGTCAGAAAAGTTTTCGTAGTGGTCAGCTGCTGTAACTCCTTTGTCGTACATTGATGGGGCTGGTGATGTGGGCAGGTCATTTTGAGGAGAAGGTGAGGGTGTCGGTGTTGGTGAAGCTGGAGGTTGTGGGCGAGACGGAATCAGAGTTATGAAAGTTTTGTGATTTTTTTGCCTTGGTTGGTATCGAGGAGTAGACAGGTCATTTTGAGAAAGTGAGGAAGTCGATTTTGGGTCAAAAGGTGGAGGTTGTTGGGGATACGAATATGAAGTTGTTAAAGGTGGGTGATTTTGCCTTGGTTGGAGTGGTTGAGTAGGTAGTGCATGTTGAGAAGAAACTGACAGAAGCGATGGTGGGTCGTTAAGTTGGAAATGTGGCTGGCGTGAGTTGGACGAATTATTCTTAGGAGTTGTGAAACATTGTTGAGGTGACTGTGGAAAGGTTTGTGGTTGGTAATGGTATGGCATTGATTGACTCTGCTGCTGAAACTGGGGAGCGCGTTGTGTAGTGTAGCCTTGAAGAGCTGCGTACTTTTGATTCTTAATGTTAGAAATGACCTGTAGAACCTCCATTTGGAATTGAAGCCATTGATCACTATCAAAAGTCTCTGTGTGCAGCAGCAGACTTTGCAAGAAGGACATTTGTGAGTTTGGATTCTCAGGTTCTTTGTTTTCCAGTGCATTTAAAATCTTCAAATCTACTTCGTCAAGTTTCTTACGTCTTTTTGGTGGTTGACCATTGGAAAGAGCTTTCTCCTTTCTTACTGTTGATTGGCGTATTTCATGTTGTGTGTTCTGCGGGCTCTCAGGAGGTTGGTGGCCAGAGGCGTCGATTTCCTTGTTGTCTTTTGTGACGAAACTCTCTGTAGTCTCTGGATTATCATATATTTTTTTCAAGAACTGCAGTTCGTCGTTATATATGTATTTTTTTATTTTGGTAGCTTTAGCGCCACTAGTTTTGCTTTGCTTTGCCTTCTTTTCAGCTTTTGCGAAGGCGTCACGTAGATGTTTCCATCGTTTCAAAACTCCCTTACCTACAAAAGAAACACATTTATTTCGGTCTACATTAGCTAGCTGCAATCGGTGCGATAGAGTTCTTTTAGCAAACTTAAAAGTTTAAGCAAGCAATATACAGATTGTTACAAAAAGGTAGGTCAATCCGTTAATCACAGATTATTATCCTCCTGACCGATATACTGGGTGTTGAAACCACATTTTAACTAGACTCGTATTTGTTTGAAGTCTCTTATAATGACGAAACATATTGTTGTGCTGATTAATTTTATCAGTAGTTTATTTTTTTATTTAGATTTTTGTTTTCAGATATCTAGCAAGTGGATGTACTTTCACCGATCTTCATTATTCCTTCAGAGTAGGGATCTCAACAGCAAGAGTAATAGTTAGAGATGTTTGTCAAGCACTGTGGAAGGTTATGCATAGCGAGTGCATACCTTCCCCCACCAAGGCAGTTTGGGAATCAGTAGCAGATGGCTTTGAACAAGCAGCAAATTTTCCTCATTGTATAGGGGCAGTAGACGGGAAACATATCCGCATCGTCAATCCAGTACATAGTGGATCTATGTATTTTAATTATAAAGACTACCATTCAATTGTGCTAATGGGTATTGCAGATAGCAAGTACCGTTTTGTTTTTATGCACGTTGGTAGCTATGGCAAAGAATGTGACTCATCCGTGTTTAAACAGACTCAGCTGTGGAAATCAATAGAAAGCAGTTCAAACAATCTTCCTGAAGAGAAGTGTCTACCAGGCACAGAAGGTCCGAAAGTGCCATATTTTATTGTTGGGGATGCAGCATTTGGGTTACATAAACATTTGCTACGGCCCTATGGTGGGACACATTTAACCGCGGAAAAGAGAATCTTCAACTATCGATTATGTCGAGCAAGAAGGTATATCGAATGCGCTTTCGGTATTCTCAGCAACAAATGGAGAATATTTCATCGACCCTTGAACGTCCAACCAGAACTTGCTAATGATATTGTTAAAGCTTGCATTATTCTCCATAACTATGTTAGAGACAGAGACGGATACAGGATTGAGGATACAACGACAATCATAGGGCTAGAAGAAGTTCAAGGAGAGAATACTACAAGAGGAGGTGTTCGAGCAAATAATATAAGAAACATTCTATGTCAATATTTTGTTTCAAGTGTAGGAAGTGTTCCATGGCAGATGTCCAAAATTAAAAAGGTCATTCTGATAGATAACCATCAGATTCTGACAGTTTATAATTATAATAATAGTATAAAAAAACAACTAGAAAACAAAAATCACGACACATTTTTAATTTGTTAAACACAATTTTGAACGTTACTATCACTCAGTCTTAAAAGTGTAACAAATTGTAATAAACAGGTTAGCTTTATTTTTGAGCAAAACAGAAGAACGATTTGCGATTTCGTTGTTCTTATCCGCTACTGCCAATACAATTGGAAAATGCTATACTTCCTACAAGACAAAGATGAAGAATACTTCATCATATGAAGTGTCAGTGGTCAGTTTTACTCGCTATAAATGCTAAATTTCCCTAAATTGAGTCTTTTTTATGCGTATTTGCATTAGGCAATTAATCAAAATAAAATATCAATGTTCACATATTTGGTGTAATATACTTAGGCATAAATAATAGGACTAGGATACCTTGTTTTCTACTGTTTATTGTTGAAATTTATCTATTAAGCGTTAAAAAATAAGAAAACATAAAAGTCCTGCATTAGATTTTCAACGATATTTTCACCTTTATACTCCAATATTATATGTATTTAATAATTTTTTTATTGTTTAATAATTTTCGGCTCTAGATAATAATATTCGCATATAAATTCACGCCTTTGGGTATACCTTTTGCATATTTTTAATGTTAATTTTCAACGAGTTTTGAGCAAAAATGGGCGTAGCAACCAATTTTTTTTTTTGATTTAATATCTTGCATGATAATAAACAAAAACAGATCTATCTTTTTCAGTCAATTGATCAAAGTCGCTATGCAATCCCAGGCAAACTTCACGCCAAGCGTTTCTCGTGGCATCTCTGTCCTTAAATATGTCGAAGGTTTTATCCCACAAGACAGATCTTTCTTCGATTAATGAAATTAAAATATCATTATCTATAACCAGATCTGCAACCACGTCACTCATGTTGCTATTTATTATACCTAAAATCGGAACTGTTCCTTTTTCAAAATTTGCAAATCTTTTTAAAAATCAAAACACCCTGGAATAAACTAATCCAACGGTAGAATAACCGACGTGTGTGCAATCGTGCATTTGGTCACGTAGGCCACTACTGGGCGTCGACGGTAAAAAAAACGTCGGCTCCAGTGGCAGTTGGCGTTTGCACCGCTACCGCTAACGGCAAATTGACCGATCGTTTATTTGTCCGCCTAATGTGTAATCTCTAATCTACTCCAGAGCGCCACTGCTGAATCGGCGGCGACGGTCAAATGTCCGCCGCGGCAAAATCCGTCGTGTGTGCAACCGGCCTAACGTGCAGCTCCCACTGCTTCACACGTGGGGTCAACTGAGACCTGACAAGGCGCAACATAGGAAATCTGGTAACGTTTTTCGTGGTAGAAAAACGGCCGGCAACACTGTCAATATTGATAGTGTCACTTGTCCCTCATACGTCTTTCTTCAACGTCACCGCTCACCGCTGTCAAGCTGCCATTTTTTCCTTTACCGCCAAAGATGTGCCGAAGTGTGAAGTGGTTTGGAACAATGCTGCTTCATAATAATATAGGTAAGATGTGATGATGAAATAGAGCAGTTTTACTTCTGATATTTATTGGAATCTAGAGTATGTCATCAAACCCTTAATTAAGCATACGTTTATATCCACCTTGAAAAAAAAACCTGAGTAAAATCATATCACTCCATTCGGTTCTTCTGTGCCTACATTATTTTTTTTAAGTTGTATGTTCCAAGAAATGATTTTCAGTATTTTCAATTCCAGTTTCTGTCGCTCATTTTTCAAGATTGGAGTGGCTTAAAATAATACAGGTGAGAACCTACATGACATTGATTTTGATAATATTGTAAAGCTGCTCAGGGCATTTATTATTTTTCTCTTACAGCCATTTGATACTACTGTGGCAAAAACAAGCAAGTAATAGACACGACGGTGCCTATATCCTTCATGCCAAAATAAATACATATTGAATGTAAGTCATTCATATCCAAGAAATTTCATTGATTCCCAAAAAATCCCACTCAAAGGCAATTATGGTACATTGCTTGTGGATTAGCTTCCAGTACAAAATCTGATAACTTCTATGTTTGCGAAGACCACTCTGTACTGTCTGATCATGTTTCCCTTCAGGATCCCTATTCACGTTTGAACTGTTGAAGTTCCAAAAGATGTTGGTCAAATTCTAAGTCAACCCATTAGTCATTCTGATCTTGCAGTTTCATTGAAGGAATGCTCTGTTGGTTTCTCAGCAAGCATTTGTGATTCTCCTTCAGCTTCTGCAGCAAGATATGTAATGAATGCCAAAAGAAGTATCAAAAGACTTGATAGATGTAAGGACAATTGAACATGATCACTGCTATTTTAAGCCAGATTTTGTGGTACAGACTCATTGTCAAGATAGATATACATTTCTGACAGACAAGTAGAGTTCATGCCTTACACAATTAGAAATAAGTGAAAGTAAATTAACAGAAAGAGAATCTAAAATGTATCAAATTCACCGCAACACAAAGGGATGTTAACATCCCCCAATGCCCTACATGTCGGGAAGTACTGTTCTCTGATGAGCTGACCCCATTACAATTGTACGTTCATTTCAAGGAACAGGATAACAAGCAGAGGCTGACATATGCGAATGACAAACTGAGTCATCTACTAGATGTTATCCATGTAAAACTGTATAGTTTTTTGGATAAGTTTGCCCATTTGCCTAATGTTCAAGCCTCCTTCAAAACAGGTCTGACACAACTGCTTGAAAATTTTCAGCCTTGCAATGTTTATGATGTCCTCAAAAATATCATTAACAAATGCTGACAATCTTCTAGTATATTAAACATACAAATTCTTTGAAAAGACCTCTTGAAACATCTGATGGTCAATCTAGGAAAATGAAAAGGTTGAATGCCACCAGGTAAATCATTTTCGAATATTTGCTGGTGGTTTTTTAATTATTTCATGTACCTCCATGGATGAACCATCACAAACCCGGCTGTGACATACCTGACCAGGACATTTTTACCATATTGTGATAGAATTGTTTTATTTTTTAGAATTCAATGTTGAGTTGTTAAATTACTATATATGGCCTGTACCATATAAATACAGGCTTTACTTATGTAAAATTTTGCAAATTAATGTTTATTCAGAAGTATAATGTTATGTTTGATTAACGAAATCATGTACCCTTTACATACAGATTTCACAGTATTTTTGTTATTGAATTTTTGTTGAGTATGGTATCATGGGTTTTTTGTAATTTCCTTATGATCGTATATTGGAATTATTATTCAGAAACCTCCCATGTGGGTTTCTGATTATTCATTGCACTATATTGCAAATGCACCACATTACATTATCTACCAGAATATAATTATTTTTCTTAATTATATTGTTTTATTTATCACTCTTGAACGAACCCAATCATAAATACTCGTGAGGTGTTTGAATTCTTTTTCCTAACGCAAAACTAATTTTTGTTATTAGTAAAACCATTCAAAACAATCAAATAAAGATGACAATAATCAAATTCAAGCGGATAACCAAATGGAAATGGTATTTACCATTTTGGATTGGTATTTACCGATCCGTTCAAGCGAGTGTGGTTATCAGTTTGGTTATAAGATCCGTGACGTCATGAATCAGCTGTTATATGTCATAGTTATCACCGCAAAATTGTGGTGTTTACCCAACTCCGGAGTAGTTTTATATTTCTGGTTATTATTTGACATGTGACAAGTTAGAATTTTGCCGGGTATTGGATATTTTTATTGTACTTCAGCTTCATTTTTGGGAAACTTGATACAGGCTGACTTCAGTTTTAGCATTATTTGTAATCATCACTATTGTTGGGGACACTTTAAATCTAGTTCCTACACTTAAAAAAGTATCCTGTATAGCCATATACCACAAGAATATTAAAATATGGCCGTATAAACTCACTGGATGATGTCCACCTGTTTACGGTTTTGTTAATATCTTTTTTCATCGCTAAATCAATAAATATTTTCTTTGACATGCGGAAAAGTTTAGAGAATTGAAAGTTATCATAGCTACAAAGCCATGGTTCTATCAGTAAAAATTTTTTTTGGAAAAAAAACATTCCTCTCATTAATATTATGAAAGTTTTCTTTTTTTCAACTCTCCATACCCCGTTGTAGACGAAAAAGTACCGATTATTAAGTGATAATAAAAATAATCAGAAATTATATACGCGCTTTTCTAAAATAAACAACTTGCAACAAACCGCGGTTAAAACCAACGCGTTCAAGCGATTCGAGTAACTGACGTCGCCATCCCGTGTGTCAATTTGAACCATATTATAACCGCGGTACATAATACGGAAATTTTGGTTATCCGCTTGGATTTGATTAATGAGTGACAGATGTGGTGAGAAATTAGGCAACCACGATAGTACCGCCGTATGGCATTGTAAAAACAAGTCGGCATATGCCATTCGTCGAATTCTTCTGAGTAGGCAGGCGTTCTTTCTGTGTCATATTTGTTCTATCACCACGAAAACATGGCGACATTCGTGTTGCTGGTTGAATTACACTGAGTAAACATTCTTTCAGTGTATATGTTTTGTGTTTGTGAGTATGTATATATTTTGAGCTTTTACCGGTTATTTCATTTTGTTGATTTTTTCGTTTACATTTGCAAACAATTTAATTTAAATTGAAGTGTAGGTAATACTAAAGCATGGTATTCCATTTTTTCAGGTAAACCATGGGTGATGTTAACAGTGAAGCTGCTGAAGACCGGGAATTCAACGTCGTCAACAAGGACTCGTTAAAATTATCATGCACCTGTCATAATTGCAATAAATTACTGAATGTCGAGCCTGTCTATTTGGTTAAGGAATCAGAAAATGACAATGCAAATATGTCCCTTACAGCCCAGATTTGCGGTAGATGCAAACATGTGTTAAAGAAGTACCCCAAGGAGAAACAGTTGCGACAGTACGCGTACGAAAATTTGGCACGATTTTTGACTTATCCATGTTCCAACAAAAAGTCTGGATGTACTGAAATATTGAAATGGGACACTGTTTTGGATCATGAAATAATTTGTGAATTCCAAATGGTGGCATGTCCTTTATACTATGATGATATTTTTCCTATCAATAAATGCAACTGGAAGGGAAATGTTAGAAGCCTGAATGAGCATATCAAACACACACATAAGGAACATATAGTGGCAGCTCCATGTTTTAGCTGGGCATCTCCAAGACTAGAAAATTCAATATTTTTTACACATGTGGGATGCCACTTAGTTACTGTGGTTGTTAAGTTTGAAGGTGAAGATAAATATTATTGCTTAATAATGATAAATGGGAATGATATTGAGAGTCAGTGTTTCCGCTATCAATTAGAATTGTTTGACGACAGTAAAGAAAACTCAATTATCTTACGGAAGGCTAAACTAGAACCACTAGGGTGCATGTTGGACAACCTCAGAAATCCTGAGGCTATGTTGGAAATAGATATAAGGAAAGTTAAAGAGATGCTAAAAAATACAAAAAGTATTTTTGGGAGATTTGGAATTGTAAAGAAAAAAGTAAAGGAAATTATGCAAATAATTGGAACTAAAGATCATAACCTTTTAAATGGATATGTAACCGTAAAAGATAGGGAACCTGAGACAGATGTTAGTAACTTGCTGCAGTTAGATGAAACATTGTTGCAAGAACTAGAATGCCCTATTTGTAATGAATACATGGTGCCACCCATTTTTATTTGTGCCGCAGGTAAGCAGTTTATATGCAGGTATGGGATTTGCATCAGGTATAGAGCCCTAAAAAGCAACCCAACATCAACTCAACTTCTGTCTGATTTTACCTCAGTTGAATTGACTACTAAGCAACTACCATTCTCATTCCAAGGTTGTGGGAATAGTTACTGTGGATGTATTTGCAGCAAGAATATGGTATAAGTAAAACATCTAGCCTATTCAATCAATCAATTTATGTATTATTTTTATTTGCCTGCAACTATATTACTTGAGTTTTTAATTATTAAATCGCTTGTTTTATGTTATTGTATCAAAACTGTACCTCTCCTGAAAGGTTTTCAATACTGTTCATATTCTGTCATTACACTGTCATGAGGAGCACTGGGAGCCAGATTGATGCCAAATGCCCAAAAATCAGATGAAAAAAGCTTCAGCCATGGATTCTAACATCTGTTGTGCTCAGGGGCTCCAACAGATGTTCTGCTGTTGCTCTAACTAAAACCCTTTCAAATAACAAAAAAATCCCATGGATGAGTTTAATATATATTTAAACTGGCAAAAAAATGTTTGCCCTTCATAAGTGCTATTTTTCCATACTTTGATATATTACTTGGAATATGTCTGGAAAACGTTATTTAAAAAAAAATAAGAATCACATACTTTCCTAGAGATTTGTTAAAAAATTATTCTGCAAATCTGGTTTTAATGTCTAAAATAATTAGCAAGCATTCTTGCCACCATCTTTGATATCTTTTCTCTCAAATATTTGGGTAAAAAGTCTAGATGGGAATCAAGGAAGTGCATCTTCAAAGAGATACTACTTCCTGTTGCTTTCTAATCCTATAGTTTTTCTTTTCAACAAAATCTTGTGACTGAGCAGTAGTTTGTGTTGAAGATTCCTATTAGATGTTGATTACATTGTCCTCTCCATCATTTTCCATTATTGGAGGTTACAGTGGGGGGGGGGGGGAAGTCTTCAATATGAGAAAGCAGTTCAGATACTGATTCCAAATCAGTATATACAGTTTTACAGAAACAACAGGCAGTGATATATTCTTTTTGTTTCCTCCAAATTGCAGGTTTAGAATAAGGCCTTGCTAGTTTAGTGCCTTTAGACCATCCTCTTGAATAATGAACATATCTTGAGCAAAGATAACTAGATGCCAAACTTTTACTAATAGTATCTCTCCTATTCTCAAATACTTACGAAGAAGAAATTATCTACTTCTCGAGGTAAATTTAGGTTTTGATCGTTACTAATTTTTGCTTTTTCTTAGTAAAATTTCCCTTTATCCCTTCTCCTTCATATTTCCAATGTCCTCATTTCAGAACTACAATTTTTTTTATAAACCATCTTATTTTTCCTTTTGCAAAAATATTCTGTGGAAAACATTACCCTGTTCTCAGAACGTTTCTTCCATGGGATACAAAAAAATGGCAACGCAAATGTGAAGTGTTTAATGGACGGAAATATTTTCATTTGTTTTAATGGGCGCGTCATCTGTATTTTCTCAATCCATAAAAAAATTCAGATAAGTACTAATATTTAAATTTTTTTTTTATTTTGGAATTCGTTATTGTATATTGTTGTATATGGAATGTAACAAGAACTAAATACCCGAAATTAAAGCAAGCAATAGGCAGAAATTCTTGAAGTATACATCAACAAATAAACTATAAAGTGATAATTAGGAACTTGAAAAATATAAAATCACAATGAAACGTTCGTTTTTCATCTTTCTTTTGAGCAAAGTGTTCAAAAAAATTCCTTGGCTTAACCTTCATGACCCTACGTAAAAGAGCAAGACCTACTAACGGTGTTTTTTTGTGACTTTTCAAAAAAGCAGGTAGGCAATGTCCGCGACTATATACCTGATAGACGGATATATTCCGAAGCTGAAATTTTATTCCAAAACCTATAGTAATTATTCCCGATCCAGCTTTAAATTAATTTCTCTCGACATTTACTTAAGGTTCTTTACTATGTGGAAATTCCAAATCTAAAATTTATTAGTTCCCGGGGTGGGGGATTAGCCCCTCTACCCCCTCTTGCACGCGCTGATGTTGCTTTAAAAAGATCCTCAAAGTTGGGAGCAACTGGAAAAATTTGGTAGTTTTACGAGGTATGTTCACTAAAAAATTTGTAATACCAGAAAAAGGGGCAAAATCCTAAAATGTTTTTGAACAAGTTGTGTTTGTTTAATGTTTTAATATCCCACCAGGCCGTTTCCCCCAGCGGGGCCCGGAAAACCACAATTCCCACCTCATTCAGATTGCAATCAGACACATTTCGAAAATGAGATATGTTATGTTATATGACATGTACATCACTAAAAACCATGTCACTCACTTCCGTCGGTATGTCCGCTAATCTTCACGTGCGGTATATATCCGCCTATCAGGTATATAGTTGTGGACATTGCTATAGGATCCGTCTACTTGGTTTTTGGAAGAGTAACAAAAACACCGTTTAGTACGTTTTGCTCTTATAAGTAGGGTCATAAAGGTTGAATCAAGGAATTTTGCTGAAAAGAAAGCTGAAAGAAAGATCAAAAAACGAAGTTTGTGCGTTTTTTACTTTTCCATGTTTTTGCTCCTAGCTCTGACGCCACTGGACAACCACCAAGCTTTTTCGTCCTTGACATAATATAGTGCCCCAGAGTGAAATTTTTGTCCGAAACCGAGCGGCAATATTATCACGTAAAAAACCTATATAATGTCAAAAATACCGACAAAATGTCAAGTTGTTGACTAGATAGTTCCTAGTGGGCAAATAGTTCATTCCGCGTTTGCTCGCCATGAACGTCACCAAAAGTGTCATCTCTGGAGCAACGACTCAACGACAAGGCACGCTCAAGTCAGTTCCCCAGCAGGCTTTGTTGGTTAACGAATGTCAAGATAGTCTGTAGAGCATACCTCTGATAAGCTGTGTCTGAAAAAAATTCAAACTTGGTTAAGTAGTAAGATCGGATCTGGATGATTGTATAGTGTGTACTGGTCTGCATGTGTACAAAATTCCATAAATTTGCTACGTGAGAAAATTATTACTGAATATGCTGCCCGTGATGCATATCTATTAGCTTTACCAATCGGGTTATTTGTGTTGTCGTTTCCGAAAAGAGGTTATGTTCAAAGTTATAAATTAAAATTTTCCACGGTTTCATTGCGTTTTCGAAAACTTTGAAAAGCATTACCGGAAATCACCTCGGCTCCCGCGTTGTGTGTAACTAAGCCACATCTCAGAAAAAATAGAAATGACGTGTCACACAAATAATTTTCGGAGTGCCTGATTTGTATTTTCAACTTGACATAGCAAAATAAATTTCTATAAAGTTTAAATGACTTTAAATGAAAAATAATACAAAGGTAATAAGCTGTTCACGTTTCATAAATATTCCTGTCTGTACCCTATTTTCTTACCTGTTAATTGTACTTCACAAACCAGGGATTTTACATTTGTATCTCTCTCTCATTTTTTAAATTCGGCAGATTTGCATATGGAATTTTCAGGATGAAGCATATGTCGCAAGTAAGCGTATTTGATACAGGAATCTAAGGCAATTATCATCAACACAGATTATTAGCACAAAAGTCTTTACTGTGCTCCTATGCACTGCCGTTTCCTTCCAGCTATAGTATAACAACTTACAGCTTAGACCTCTAATAATGCCATATCTGAAGCAGATGCTACATCACATCAGAGCCAAACATTGATAGCTGAAGCGTCATGATGTTTAGGCAACACGTGCAGCTACAGAATGAGTGCAGATCAAGTGAACAACACCTAGTTCTAAGTTGACATCTTGTAGAAAAACCTAAATAATGTCACAAAAAACCCATATAATGTAAAAAACCGACAATGCCACTTTTCAAGATACGGATAAACCTGCGGTACTTCCAAAGTTATAGGCGGTCTAAGGATGAGCGCACATACAGACCGACAGACAGACCTATGGAAATAAGTGACATGGTTTTCGTCCAGTGGCATAGGAAGTAAAATTGGGCTTATGAAAATGAAAAAAATGAAAATTGCGTATGAAAAATGATAGGTGTGTCTAAATTTGGCCGAAATGGGTATCGGAATCGTCCGGAGCCCGTTGGCGGAAGAGCGGTGGTGAAAGCCCATTATATTGTTTTCTTTACAAATACTACGTAAACTAGCCCGTAGACTATATAACAATATTCTGGACTCTACCCTGCAAAATACAGGATAAGAATCTTTGGGAGATACATCTTAGGTTAAATTAGGAAAAAGTTGCGTTCTTCGCTGTTGAGAAACTTGTAAACATTTCATGGCTTATTGAGATATTTGGGAAAAAACTAAAATTTGTCCAAATCATTTTTCTTTTTTGCTGACTTTATTTTAGAAAATAATAATAAATCGACTTTATTTAGGGGGCGAAGTTTAGCATAATGCAATAAACATGCATAATCAAAAAACGAATGAAACTTTTCGATTGGCAGTTTTTAGGCACTACATGATGGTGTTTTTGAATTTTGTGCCCGACGGTTCGTTTTTGAGAAACGTATCAAGTTTCAATTCAATTCAACGATGCATCACATGTTACATTTATTTTCTTGGTTATAAGGAAAATGCGTTTATTTTTTTATGTAGGTATTCCAAACAAATCCTTGACGTAAGTACTGCAGAAATGTATCTTGATAAATTTCCCTGAAGAAGGCAGCCAAGTAAATCCATTTTCTTAGAGTTGGCTCGAAATTTAAATGAATATTCATTTAGAAAGTCTGTTACGTATCGAAAAAACGAATCTTTAGAGTAAACTCAGAATGGTGTTTGCTGTTGCTGAGAACTGAGATATCAACAGCAAATTGAGAAAAACGTAGGAGTATTCAAATACATAGACCAATTTAGTTTCCGTTAACGTTAGATTTCACCCCTATAAATTCAGGATTTGCCAAGGATTTCGACCAGCAAATAGCGATCGGCGCCAGCACCTTTGTGAGTGTGACACCCGAATGTATGAAGAAGATTTTAATTTCACTTCAAAAATAATATGATCCGACAAGAATATGGTCACTAATAAAGGTATCTTTAATCGCCACAACACACATTATTGGGCTCAAGAAAATCTGCTGGCTAAAAAAGTATCCAGCCGTCAAGAACGTTTTGGGTTTAATATGTGGTGTGGAGTTCTAGGGACCAAAATATTAGGTCCATTCCGTGATCTAGAAGACTGCCTGGATAATATACCTTTGGTACAGATTAATAACTCTTGGTTTCAACAAGAAGGTGCTCCTGCACATCTCTAGGCAAGTTCGAGAGTATCTTTCTCTGCGATTTCCCGAAAGATGGATTTTAACCTCCACTGAAGTGTCCTGTCCCCGTCATATCATTATGTAATAAGTTTGCAACGCCTATTTAAATAAAAAAAACACATTTTTCTTTTCAACTAAGAAAACAAATGTAACATGTGACACATCGCTGAATCCGTAGAAAAAGATGTTATCAGATAGAGGGGCCATATAAAACCAAGTTGATAATGGTTTCTCAAAAACGAATCGTCGGGTACAAAATTTAAAAACGCCAAAAGGTTGCATTGGTTTTTTGATATTTCTTGAAACAAAGACAGAAAACAATAAAAAACGATTTTTTTTTGTTTTCCCAAGTACCTCAGTAAGCCATAACATTTTTACGAATTTCTCAAATATGTACATGTAAATATGCCCCAAAGAACGCAACTTTTATCTAATTTGAGCTGTATCTCCCCAGTTATTGAGATCCCCATGCATTGGATTAATATCTTGGACACCCTGCATATACATGAACACATACATATAAGGGATAATTTGAAGAGTGTTGAGATCCTGCATCTGGCTTCCGTTGATCCACCCATAACTTTACAACATGAATTTTACTTTCAGGTCATAGCATTTGTAGTGAGTGCAAAAACAAAATTCAACTATGCCCAAACTGCAGATGTCCATTGTCTAACGCAAGAAACTTCACATTGGAAAAGCTGACTACCAAGGTTCCATATCCGTGTCGCAACCGGGAGATTGGTTGTGCTTTCATTTCCACCTCCAATAAAATTCGCAGCCATGAACTTGGTTGCGAACTAACAGAAACCACTTGCATCATGGGATCAACAAGGTAAAAGAAAGCAAGTTATATAAAAGTTTTTACAAAATAAATATTGTCAAAAACAAAAATTCCACAGACGCAAGCTTGTGCGTGAGCGTTAGAGGCAATTTTTAAATATGGCGACCAAATGACTATCATTTGGTCAGGTGACCTTTTTTGTAAACTCTTATAGGTGCTTCAGAACTCCGCGTTCAAACTGGTTAACTCCAGACGTGACCTTAGTTTCTGGTCTTAGAATGTATTTCATTTTTGTGGCAGTGTGAGAGAAAACTGTCTTTAGTAGTTGTCAATACAATACTTTTACTGTCAGGAATTGGTTTTTGCTTCACAAGAAATGGACCATTTTCCGATTCAAAGTAGTGTGATTTTAATACACGAATAGACAAAAATTGAAAACCCTGGTATATCTCAACTGCAGATTATTAAAAAATGTGTAATCATAGGATATGTTTGATTCTGAAAAAGAAGTAAAATGAGTTTTAACCCTTAACCGGAAAGGTGCCGTCTGTGAGACTGCGGCGTTTCTATACCTGAGCGTATCTTTTTTTATTGCACCTCTAACAGACGTAAAAACCCATCTAATCCATAAGCTATTAGTGACCATCGCCCACCCCCATTCACACGAGTCTAGCCAAAACGTGCCTTAAAATATGGACCAATTTTAGTTTGTTGCAGTCTGTCAGACGGCACGTTTCCGTTCCCGTTTGCTATTTGTGTTGCATAGGTGCGTTTGCGAGTATGGCGGGACCTTCTAAACGTGTACGATACGATGATCCGGAGTTCGAAGAAACCGTTCTAAAATGGTTTGAGGATGAAGGAAGTGACTTTAGTGATATAGACAGTGCCTCAGAAGACGAATACATGGAATCAGATCATACAAGTGATAGTGAGTTATCAGAAGACGGAGCCGAAGGAAATGAAGAGGATTTACCAGCTCAGAATTATTTCTATGGAAAAAATCGTCATAGGTGGAATATTTCGGAAGTTGTACCATCATCACGTACAAGGAAGCACAATATAGTCATTAAAGTACCAACTCTAAGAGGAAAAGCTCATGAATATGGAGAAGAAGCAGCTCCGTTGACGGTTTGGCAGCTTTTGTTCACTGACGACATGTTGGTACATATCGTTAATTGGACCAATCACAAGCTCAAAGAAATGCGAAAGAGATACAAAAATCAAACCAGCAACCTAAACGACACTGATTTAGTCGAAATAAAGGTACTATTGGGTCTCTTAGTATATACATCGGTGTTCAACAGCAACCACGAGAACATTGAAACACTTTTTGCCACCGATGGCTCTGGAAGAGATATATTCAGAGCTGTCATGAACATAAAACGATTTGGTATTCTCCTGTCAGCCTTAAGGTTTGATGACCCAGATGACAGGAATGAAAGAAAGAAGCTAGATCCAGTAGCACCAATATCTTTCATTTTTAATAGTTTTATAAAGAACTGTCAAGATGTGTACGGAGTTGGCCAGTCTGTCACTGTCGATGAAATGCTCGTGAGTTTCAGAGGAAGATGTCGATTTAAAATGTATATGCCTGCGAAACCTTGCAAATATGGCATAAAAATTATGGCATTGACGGATGCAAGGAATAGCTACCTCTATAACGCATATATATACTGCGGTAAAGATTCCGATAGTTTCGAACTTCCTGAGGAACACAAGCGGTATTCCAAACCCACACAATCAGTTCTACGTCTCGAGAAGCCTCTGTTTGGAACTAATCGCAACATTACAGCGGACAACTGGTTTACGTCAATAGAATTAATGGATGTCCTATTGAAGAACAAACTGACCTATGTGGGTACAATGAAGAAAAATAAAAGAGAAATTCCTCCGACATTTTTACCCAACAAATCAAGAGAAGTCGGATCAACAATGTACGGATTTCGAGAAGATTCCACTATTGTGTCTCATGTAAGCAAAAAAAATAAAGCCACAATACTCATATCTTCTATGCACCACAGAAAATATTGTGATCCGGAAACACAGAAACCGGAAATAATAGCCTATTACAATGCTAATAAAGGTGGAGTTGATTCACTTGATGAAAAATGTTCGAAGAGTACCTCAAGTCGCCGTTCGCGTAGGTGGCCACTGGTTATTTTCTACCGACTATTGCATATATCGGTAGTGAACTCGTATATTTTACACCAGTGCTATAAGAAAAATGAATTGCAGAAGGAAAAATCGGTATTTGCTAAGATGTTGGCCGCTAACCTGGTCCGTGAGCATATGGAAAATCGACTAGAGAGTCCCCGTTTACCTCGGGATTTGCGACTTACGATAAATCGCATCCTTGGCAAATGTGAACATCCAGCAACAGAAGCTGAAAATTTGGTTTTGGAAAAAAGGAAAGCCTGCTTTTTATGTCACCGAACGACCCATCGGATGACCAAATTTTTGTGTGTACAATGTAGGAAGCCTGTATGTCTTCAATGCTCCAAACCCAAATGTATTAGCTGCATAAATATAGGCAATGTTTGAGACTTGCAGTGAATTTTGATTGTGTTCTTTTTGTATTTATTGACTATAATATACTTTCCTTGTTCATTACTTAACTAGAAAATAGAAAAATATTGAGACTTTTCCATAGTTTTAATTTAGTTTCTGAATGTTGCAACAACAGCGTTATTTTTGTATGGTTTTAGCATAATTAATAAAAATGTTTCTTTTATGTTCTTGTATCATTTTGAAATGAGCATTTTACGTATTAAACACATAAAATAAACATCCAGTATCAGTTTCAGCGAAGTTATTGCTTGCTTTTCGCCTTACTCTAATTTTTTGAACATCTTGAAGTTCGCAGTCTGAGAGACGGCATGTTTCCTTTTGTGTTCCAAAAATTCACGTTTCCTGTTAAGGGTTAATAAGTTAAAATCGGCCACTGGTTGGAAGATATGTGATATACGCTTTTTACGATTTGTGGGTCATTCTTGAATTTGGCGGCCAAACGTTTTTTATTACTCCTAATAGATGTTTAATAGTTAATAACACCGCATATTGAAACTGAGGCAAAATATACCAGTAGAAGGGGCACTCACGAAAAAGCCTTTGATCTTCTGACTTCCAAAGGTGCCGACATTTTTCTAAGAACTCGGATCCTTCTTTTAGGTGATCAGCAGAAAACTGTTCACAAGGGTGAGTGAAACTGATGCCCAAGACTTCAGTTTCGAGTCTTTTCCTACGTTGTCTATACAAGCCAGCTTACCCAAGTTCTTTGTAAATATTTCCTACAATTCCGTAATATATTTAACTAAGCTCCGAAAAGGTAGTATCAAGCCTCCAAATTCATCATGGGCTATTTTGGATGTTAGAAATAAAACTACACATCACATTTTTATGATATCGCTTTTTTGACACTGGTATACTCATAAATCATACATAAATTTTGGATGGACCTCTTTCGTCAATTACACTTCGACCTGAATTCCTGTATGGAAAAACGTCCAAATATGCTAGAATAGCAATACTTGCCTAAAATCATCAAGGCACCGGAACAGCATTTCCGTCCTTTATTTTGCATTCAGGCATGCAGGACTACCTTGTCATAGTGAATCAGCCTGTCTGTCCATCGACTACCTGGATAGTTATGGTACAGGAAGTATATTCGCATCTGCTTAAAAATATATTTTGATTTTTCTTTTGTCGCATAATCTTATTAAAAAAGGCCCCTTTTAATAAATCTGCGTGTTGCCAGACCTAAAATTGCGTCAAAAAATTGTTGTTTTTTTTCTATTAAGGTTGTGCAAAGATCCTAATCAGAATATTTTTTCGATCAGATGGGAAGATACTTCCTGGACTATTACCGTAGGTAATGAATGGGTGATCGCAATCAAGTGGCAGGTAGCATTTCAGCCATCACAGGTATCTTCTCAACCACCCTGGCAGAATTTGTTTTTCGATGGGATGGTTCTTCTACTGTATCTTTTCCTTTGACTGGGGGCATGTATAAGTGCACATATGTCCTCAGTGGCTGCTTCCAGACTATACGTATGACTAGAATTGAAGATATATAAATATGATATAGTTTATTATAAACATGTGACTTTGCTTAATACGTATTAAAATTCGATATCTATAAAAATCCAACTAAGTTTGTTGCTGAATTTAAATGAAATTTATGGGAAAATTGGTTCTGCATATGAATGTAGTATAACTACCTCAGTATGAAAAATATTAGTATGCAGAACTGATGAGGTCGCCAGTTTCAAATTTTATAAGAAACATTTTAATTTAGTTTTGAATTCTCTTGGTTGGTGTTCGCCGCTCGCGTAGTATTACGTCTCGTCTTCTTTTTTTGGAAGTGCTGATAATTATAGTTTTTGTTCGATAGTACGTGTCCGATATTAGCTAAATGCACGATCATTTTGCGAATGAGCTTTTTTTTACCGTCCAGATATTGAAATGTGGCGAATGAATCCAACAATCACGTTTACATGCTTCTCGAAGTAGTGTTGTGTTTAGGACTGTAAAAGTAACGATTTGTTCGCTACCCGTATGTATTCGTTACTTTTAGATTGACTACTCGTTACCAATATTCGTTACTCGTTACTTTCGTTACTTGGGTGCTAGAATAATATAGAACCAATTTAACCCTTTATTTGGCAAGGCCATGAAAAAGATACAGATAAATGTTTTTTTTTATTATAAACTAACACAAAATGTTTACTCTAACACTTTTGAACTGAAAAATATTTATTTTTTACTTTTTTTGACAAAAAAAACAATGTTGCTTGAAAGCAACATTGCCTGTTATAATAGAGAAAAATAACAAATTTTATTTATTGTGAAATGAATAAAAACAGTTCCTTTTGGGCACAAAGCACAGAACTAATTTACACTTCTGGCAGTGTACTGTTGAGTAATCATCTTTGCAATGTCTGTACCTCCCTTTATTTGCATAAATCGGAAAACGGCCAATTTCGTCGTATCTAACATCTTCTACTGGTCCAGGAATGACAGCTTTTTTCGTGGATGGGACGTTTTCTATGGAAGATGGTCTGCCCCTATTCTTTTTCTGGGCCAGTAGACCTTCGGCTAGCATAGTACGAAAAACTTTTAGGCATGGCTTATTCTTCCCACTTTCTCGTCTGTAAACCAACCATCCATTTACGACAGCAAGATCAATCAACCAGCCAAATATCCTAAGATACCATCTTCTAGATTTTAGCGGAACTCTGTACAACTCAATAAGCATACCAGCTAAATCGACACCCCCATGTGCTTATTATATTGTTGAACTATTTTTGGGCAAGGCACATCTACTTTTCTTTTCTCGGCGGCGTTCCATCTCTTCACAGAGCCTAGGGGTTGTACTCCGACAAAGGAACTTGCCAAAGTAACAACTTTGTTATCTACCCATTTTACTGCTATAAGTTTGTTGTTCTCATCATACCAAAAGTCATATATTCCTCTTCCCTCCTTTTGTAACTTGCGATCATCTTTGAAGGGACAATTTTTTAGCCTATTTTTTCGCAAGGCACCAAGTGAATTTATTTGCATTTTCTCCTTTAGATACGCAATTACCTCGAATGTACAAAAAAAGTTATCGAAAAAGGCTTTGGGTTGCAGAGTAAAATCACCACTTGTCCACCAATACCAAATTTTTGTTCCTCTTCATTTACGGTAATCATTCCTTTTCCTGTGTAGGGTACAAAGTCATAAATGATTCCTGATACTCCACAGCGCATAAAAAACTTATAACCCCATTTATGAGGCTTGTTTTGTATGTATTGACGTAAATTTCCGGCTCTTGTACCCTTATATGGGATCATCATTTCATCTATAGAATGACGAGATTCCTGTTCTAAATTTCTGCATTGGAATCGCACAATGGTAAAGGACGAATTTTGTAGAGCCTATCAGTAGCAGTTGACGCTTCTTGATTTTCGTGATTGTCTGCAAAATGTAAAAATCGTCTCAGTTTTTGAAATCTTTTTAGGCTCATTACATCAGCAATTTTATGATATCTATATTGTTGACTCCAGTAATCAGTATATGATGGAAACTCTATTACGCCCATAAAGACTAGTATTCCTATAAATTGTTGAATTTCTTTATCATTTGTATTTATGGAGTTACCAGTTACCTGTACAGAATATAGATTAGTTTGTGAACTTATCAGGGTAATCATTTCTGGCGTAAAAAAATTATAAAAGTACGTAAGTGGAGTCTCAGTTTCAGTATCATCACTTTCAAGGACATTGTCGGCATTGTTATTGTCCATGGACAAAGCCTGTGAAATGGAATCAAATCTTCATCATCAAATCCATCACTATCCTCTTCAAAAACTTCAGAAGGGAGTAAGTGATTCCTTCCAACATCACCCGTATTTTCTGACAAATTGGTTTCAGCGGCAGTAGTGGTGAGGTCATTATCATCGTCGAGGTCAGAAAAATCAGAATCGGATAGAGTGGGATCCTCGGGAGGCAGGATAACTACCTGATTTTTACGTTTCCCGTAAAAAGTTGTTACATCCATTATTTTCTATAATTATTTTCTGTCCTGGCAATGGTGATTGTAAGCAACACTAAATATGCGAAATGATTCCACCCTGTAAAATCGTAAAAACTAACTAAGAATAGTTATACACAAATTCTAACAGCGAATATATTTTTTTATATACAATTCACTAATATAGAACGATATAGTACACACATAACCTACAATACTTCACAACACTGTCATAACAACCGCGTGTAGCATGGTAACTGATCTGAGTTTCTCGGCAAACATCGCTGCTTTGATGCGAACGAACGTTGCCTGTAAGCATCATTGGCCGTTTAATCGCATATCTGTACAACGGAGACCATATAATATAATATAAAATGATGTTGCCCATAAGCAACATTGTCAAATAAAGGGTTAAATACCGGTTGTATATGTGTGCGTGGTAATCGTCAGCACATTCATACCATAACTAAATTACAATGAATGTTGATGTAGTTGTAAATAAGTTGGGAAAGGAAAAGAAATGTAACTGCAATATGAATAAAGAAACTTTTTTTTTAATTTATGATTTATAACATAACATAATATAGGTAATGTTTAACAAGAGTATTTAAAAAAGACAGCGAAACATAGATCATTTAAAATATACGTACATACAAATAAAAACGAATTCTTGAACAAAAAAACAAAAACAAAAAATATAAAAAGAAATCCTAAAAATATTCAACAAAACTAAAATATTTATTACCTATCTTGGTTAACACAAAATGAACTACAAACTAAGAAAAACCACTTTTATACCAATAGTCTTTGGTTCATATGTAAAAAGACAATTTTTTCAACGCGTTTCGGTTTCAATGAGTTACGTTTTTCTGATAATATTTGCCCCGACTTGGAAAAAATTCTTTCCGATGGCACCGATGTAGCTATCACACATAAGTATTTTTGTGCTAAATTAGACAATACTGGATAGAAAAGTGTTCGCGCGTGCCACCATTTAAGTGGATTTTCTTTTCTAAATAAAAGCTTTTCTTCCATATACTGCCTAAAGGTAATTATACTGGCAGATGTCTTTGATGCTGTAGTACTTATGGTTGTTGTTCTTCTATCAAACTCTAGCTAAATAGAGTCTTGTTGCTCGTCAAACATAGGAGAATCTATATCTTCGCTTTCGGATTCATTCACAAACGATGGTTTTGCCATCCTTTCCAATTCTTCTTTCACATAATTTTTTGCATACTCATAACATGAATCGTCAGCAAAAGCTTGTGTCGTAAACCTAGGGTCCAAAATCGCAGCTTTTGATAGAACTTGGTATCGCGAGCTATTTTTGAACCTGATATTAAATTCGGCTTTCAGTTTAGAGACTAATTGTTTGGACAAATCACAAGTCAGAGTGTTATTCAAGTTATTGAGTATTCGTAAAACGCTGGAATTTCCTGCCAATTTTTTTGAAATAGTCACTTCGTTTTCAGACGAAAATTCCTCAGTAAGTTGTTTGAATGGTTTTAATATTTTTACAACTTCTGGAAGAATCTGCCATTCGTTTTCTGAAAGGTTTTCAACTTTATTATGCAACAAACCTATTGCAGCTTCTATAGGCTCTTGTAGATTTGCAACTCTTTCTGACATATCTAACGTGCTGTTCCAACGAGTTATAATGTCCATTATAAGTTTCAGGGGTTTTTGTCCAGGTTTTAGTTGTTCTTGCACGGCACAGAGCTTTTTTTTTGGCAATAGAGCTTCTATGAAAATATTCTACAATGCATTTTACTTTTTTGATAGGTTCTTGTATTGTCTCAAGACTTGCCCGAACTATTAGGTTGAAAGTGTGGGCAACACATGGAAAATGTTCCCAACTTGTCAGCCGAATAGTAGCCTTCATATTTGATGCATTGTCCGTTACGCAAGCAAATATTTTATCATTGATCTCCCAATCAGTCACAATATGTATCAACTCCTGTTTTATGTAATCAGCCGTATGTCGCTCTTGACATTCGAAACAACCCAAGAGGGCGGAACGCATTTCCCAAATATCTCCTAAAATGTAATGTGCTGTTACTGCCTGATAAGAAGTTGTAGCACGAGACGTCCATCCGTCTGTCGTTAAACATATATGTGATGTACGTTTCAACTCGTCTTTTAATTTTTCTTTCACCAACGTGAAGTGCGCATCCAGCAAACCTCTACTAAGCATATATCGCGAAGGAATTGGATAATTTGGTTCAAGATAATTGATTAACTCAATAAAACCTGAATCTTCCACGATAGAGAAAGGTTGCAGATCCCTAATTATTAATTTCAAAATCAAATGATTAACTTTTTTTCTCTCGTGTGGCACTTAGAGGTTTTCTAGTAAATAATGCGATGCCGGTTTGCTGAGCTTCTTTCTTTCTTTTAGGTTCATTTGTAGAAGCTTGAAATTGTTGTTGAGCCCCCTTTGATCGAATACGCAAATTGGCCTTATTTTCTATTTCTTTGCTAAAAAACTACCAAATCTTACTTCTTTTTCCCTCCATGAAGTCGAGACCTTTAACAGCAAGTACTGAAACAACATAAATGTACATTTATGTAAGTATTCAATTCTCCTCGATTTTAAAAGATTTGTTATATTTGTTGCTTACATGGTTACGGTCATTCCACAATAATACAAAAAATCACTATAATTTATATTAGGTTTTTAAGTGGGTACTTATATTTTATTTTATAGATTTCATTTACGCTCCTAATTCCTTGCTCAAATCCTATTAAAATAAATACCACGTATTTAAAACTTACCTATTTAAAGGAATTCAGTTATACACCATCAAAAAACTCTACCAAGTGGCAACAAACAGAGCAACAACAGCATAAACAAACACAAGTCGGTTCGAGCAAATCACATCAAAGAAGCCAACGAATACCGAAACATACGAAAGTAACGACATCCGAACCGTCACCGATATAATACAGGATATATCATACGTACGTCTAGCAGCCCGCCAAGCCTTCGGCAAACCTTCGGTCACTTTGGTGATGTATTGGTTGCCTATAACATCGATGCTGGCTGATAGCGATAACCGCGTAATTCAAATCGTTACTGATATACTGTATGATGTGCATTATTTTAAATCTTATTATATTCCTGCAATCACTTAGCTTTTATTTGATATTTTTATGCGAGTTGATTCACTTTAACAAGTTTAATATCTTCATAAAAATATATTTTTTAATAAGTCTTTTGGTACTGTTTCAAACATGCGAGTAACGATATGTTTATGAAAGTAACGATTCGGTATTTCGAATCTTTCCTACTATTCGTTACTCAGTAACGAATACATACGGTTCGTAACAGCTCTAGTTGTGTTACATTTACACCCCTCCCGCAGCTCTTTAATTGACAGCTGTGTGAATGAATGAGCCATAAAATTAGAGGTATACCGGCCACCAAAAGGAGCCGATGCATAGGCCACTTGAACAGGCCCTTGTGCACCTCTACATTCTTTAGACCTCAAGCCTCGCCATTCTAGCAAAGTTGACTGTGGCTTTGAAACCAAGCTCCTTAACGTCATGGGGGTCCAAAGTGATGGACCCCTGTATAGTCTGCCTGTAGTAACTCAGAGCCTCACAGGGACACAGAACGTGCGCCGAGGTCTCTTCCTCTACCCCGCAGCGCTCACACAACCACCCCCACCACGTGCAGTTGGCGTCTTAACGTGTTAAAGCCAGACAACAGTCCCACAAGCAACCTTATATTGGCTCTATCCAAAGATACGCAAAAACGTCCATCCTTAGCTCTGAACCCTACAACGACTTCGTGCCTGCCGGAGATGTCTGGAGATGCTTCTCCATTTCTGAGAGTGTTGCCTTGCAAATCACTTCTCAATTTTCTCTCATTTTCTCCCTGCATTGTAATATAAGGCTCGAAGTAATCTTACTTACTACACTTAATGCCTTCATTGCATTGGGCTGTCGGAGAAGATTGTTATTCTTCTACTAGGCCCTCCTCTCCAAAATGCAGGATACACAAACCAGAGTCGCAAAGATTTTCGCCTGGAAAATAGTGGCGTATCCACCATGAAGCAGAGATAGCGTAGTTCTAGGCCCAGAGACTCCGGCGTCAGAGCCCTCTTCAGTGGCCTGCACACACACTCCAGAGACCTTCCGGCTACCGGCGTCCCACTCCGCCCTCGTTGGATACTCCACATGAAACTTGCGGTTGAAGCGATATTTAGGGGTCATTAGATCACCCCTGCTCAGAAGGACAGGGTCCTCTCTGTGCAGTTCGACCTTGATGACAGTGTAACCCTTGACAGGATTCAAGAAGGCCCAGCCGCCCTGACTCCACAGTTGTGCGACTACTCTCGCTCCAACGGGGGGAGATCCAGCAGAGCTTCGTTTGCGATCAATTGCGTTTTTCGCACTACGCTTGTAATACTGATACAGACCAAAAGCTGTATTTTATTGAGTTTAGGCTTAGTTCCAATGCAATGTTACCAAAGCAGGGAACCATACAAGAGAGATGGACGTACTACCGTCGTGTAGAGTCAGTGTACCACTTTGGGTTTAAGCCCCCACCTTACACCGTCAACACGTCTGCACGCCCACACTGAATTGCGAGCCTTGTTAACCTTGTATTCAATATGCTCTCTCCAGTTCAGCTTGCAGTCCAGGATAATTCCTAGATATTTTACTGATTAGGATAGAACTAATCTAGTCCCAAAGAAGGTCGGCAAGTCAAGCCCGTCAAGCCTTCTTCTCCTAGTAAATAGAATGATCTCGGTTTTTCCAGCGTTGACAGAAATATCGACCTCCCTACACCACGATTCCACAGTGCACAGAGCACCCTCCATAATCTCAGAAACTGTTCTACAAAAACGACCCCTAACGATTATGCTTAAGTCATCAGCATAAGCTTGCACGCGAACTCCCGCACTGCTGAGCCTATCGAGAATAATATTGTATTCTAGGGTGTGACATTTTTCCTTAATACCGAGGCACTGCGGCTGCTATGCTGATCACAAAGAAATTATGTTAATCCGATTTTTGAACTGTCTAAGGTACTGGGAAAAGCTTCCTCTTGTAGATTCTTCCAGAATCTCGACATCCTCGAGACATAGGAGTGGTCGTATCGGCTAGTTCTGGATGTACGAAGTTCGACACGGTCAGGCTGGAAGGCCAAAGTCAGGCGGCTCTGTCTGGCAGGCACATCGCACGGCGGCATCATGGAAGAGACCTCTGAGGAGCAAAGCCCGTTGGTGTAGCGATAGAAGAGAGCTAGATCGCCGAAAGCTCGCCGGTGCGAAAGGGTCCCGAGACTGTCTGTTATATAAGAGTCATCGACCAGTCGGACAGCCCTCGTCTGGACAGCTTCGAGCATAAATAATGTAGTCGGGGCGGCGGCACCCCAAACGTGTGAGCAATACTCGAGGCTAGGCCTTATCTGGGCCTTGTATAGAGTGAGAAGGTCATGCGGAGAAAAGTACTTGTTAGCCCTAAACAAATAACCTAGCTTCTAACCTAGGTCCTTTGTTATCTGGACTCCGACCAACCGAAAGCTGGCTGAAGAGGGCAGCGTGCCACAGCTGATCGAACGCTTTCGTGATGTCAAGAGCAACGACATGCGCCTCACCATAAGGCTGGATGAGTTTACTCCGCAATTGCGTGGCGTAAGCTAGGAGGTCCCCTGTGGATGGCTGGTGCCGGAAACCATACCTGCCTGTCGCTAATCAAGCGGTGACGTTCAAGGTAGTCCAGAAGCTCGCGAATTATTCACCTCTCCACTACCTTACTTATAACAGAAAGCAGAGCTATATTCCTGTAGTTGTAATGGTCGGTCTTAGATCCTTTTTTGGGATGAGTTGGACATGAGCAAATTTCCAGTTTTCTGGGAAGGTGCCGGATTCATAAAATATCTGGAAGAGACGCGAAAGAACTGGAGCAAGCTTGGATGCACCTCTTCAGTACAATGGCAGGAATCAAGTCCGGACCAGAAGCTTTGTTGGTCTCGAGCGACAAGAGCACACGTCTTACCTTCCGCATAGTGTAGGGAACCCTTTGAATTGACGGCACTTGGGCGTTGGGGCGAACGTCCATGGTGGAGTTGGCAGCAAAGATCTTGGCAAGCACTTCCGCCTTGTCTTTTGAGTCGGATACAATCGTTCCATCCTGACACGTAATTGGTGGAAGGCTACTATGTAAGGAGTTCTTTTCAATCTGCTTGGCCAGCGCCCAGAAAGACCGAATGCCATTGCGCTGCGACATTACCCTGTGTCTAACTTTTATATCGTGCTGGTTTTTGACATTGCGAACCGCTTTGTTATATTTGTTTCTGGACTCGACGTCGGCTTGTCTGTTCTCTACAGAGGGGTTTTCTAAGAAGGTTCTGTGTGTCTTGATCTTCTGCTGGCGAGCAGTGTCACACGATTTGTTAAACCAGCCGTTGGACCCTGGTCTAGGCACTTTCACTGTATGAGGGATGTACTGCTCCATTCCGACTTGGATAATTTTGGTTATCGAAGAACAGGCAGCCGACGCATCTGCGTCAGTGTAACAGACATATCTCCAAGGAAAGGTAGAGAAGAAGTCTCTGAGCCCCTCCCAGTCGGCATGTCTGTAATGCCAAATGCTCTGGCCTGTGCGAGTTTCTGCTGCCACAGCGGGTTCTGACCGAAACCTAACCTCCACAA